AGTAGCAGTACTACAAATGCTCAGTTTCCTCGGCGCCTCCTGCAAAAATGACACAAGAAAATGACTCAGGTGACGAAATTTTTGGGGTAACAACATTCCACCGACAGCGCAATCTGCATGATTTCTCATCGGTGACGAAATGACACGGTCTCGCCGATTACCAGCCAAGTGTACGTCGTTTATTACAGTATCAGGCCAGCGCGGGTACCACCGATGAAACTACGGGGAATTCCCCTTCAAAGTTCCCGAATTACATGGCTACGGATTGAAATTACACGCGCGTCTACGGGAAACCGCTGAAGCCGGCTGCAGCCGCTTCCATAGATTCGGACGTGTATATGGCTGGTAGATTTGTACAAGTCCAGCATCCATTCGAGTTTCGCCGCAAGTTGCCGAGGTTCATTTTAGTAATGGAAGGTAAATTCAAATCATAAGTAGAATTTCACAACTATCTGATGCTTTTCCAATCTGAACTAGAGATGCAATTTCCCCGAAAAAGGAAATGTGGCAGAATTTTTCAAGTTGAAGTGAACATGCATTTTGTTCCGTCTTTCGACTGAAAGCACTGTACTGGCACATTGGTAACAGATAATACTAGCCAAAATATTTAATAGTAATGTTTCACTCCCTTTAAATTCATCAAGTTCAAAATAATTTTTAATCACAGGGAGTCATTTCTCAAAGGCTTCATGTCTTAAACCCAGACTTTGACAGAGATTCTGCTGGGATCGACATGCAATTTAAGTCCCTCCTTTGAAACACGATTGTCACTCGGATCAACATGATTACCCCTGACTCACTAGGGGTGTGCAAAATCGTATTAAAATTGGAGGATTCAGGACTGTTAGGGTTTGTGAAGGAGATGATTTTATTTTAATAAAAGCATATTCATGTGATGTTTGTAAGCGAATATTCAGAAGTTTTCGAGTCCAGGTGGAGCTGCATGTGCATCAGACGTAAAACTTGACTGATTACAACCAAATGAAAGTTTAGCAACTGCTTAAGTTTAACTGTAAAGGCTTATACTCTTGACACACCGCCAACGATTTGACTCGGTGAATCTTTTGAAATTTCGCTGAAAACCTCACCCGTATGCTTTTTTAAAACATTTCCTCCTTAACAAAAACTGGAGTACAAATCGAAATTCACCACTCTCCCCCAAATTAATTATCTACCAAAATAAAAACAAATCATATTACTTCATGATGCGGTATTAATGGATGATTTACATTCAAAAAGAAACTGTGAAATAAACACAATTTGGAGCATAAATCGAAATTCACCACTCTCTTCCCAATTAATTACGTACCTAAATGAGAACAATTAATTCATACTACATGATGCTATAGGTATAAACGGACAGTATTTGCAAACATTCAAAAAGAAACTGTGAAAATATCATGAAATATCCAGCTTGATTGTCAGTAAATAAATGGGTCATGCATCCTGTGAAATCATTGTGCCTAGTACATGTTGTGATTTGTTCGAGAAAAGGGGAATTGCCATATCTCACTATGGTGAGGAAGAATTGAAGATGCATTTTCACAGTTTTCCAGTGTATCTACTGAGCAGAAATTTCAACAGAATAATTGATTAAGTAATAACCCGATTCAGATTAATTGGATTGCTGTTCATATAGAATCAGCAAATAACGCTTATTCAATGTCGTTTTGGTGCCCAAAATGACAGCACACCAGGTGCACTGATTTAGCAGGATGCTTGAGAGTTTAATTCCCTTACAGTCAAGTATCTGGACTAGAGGATGGTACTATTTCTTTCTACAGGTCTTACTAGCTAATTACTTTTGAGTACCTTTTTAATACAGGTAATAAGTCATTATTTTATTTGATAGTATAGCACTTTGTTCTAATAAGTATTATTTTTGCCGATCCCTTGAGTTGCTTAAAAAAATCAGGATACAGAATAACGATCATCCCTTTAGGCCAAAAAAAAAAGTCTCCGGTTTCTGGTATATGGAACTTGCCCAAAAAGTGGTGCGGCGACGCGGCTTTTTTTTTTTACCTGTTTTTTTTTTTTTGCTTCAAATGTCGGCGGATGACTGCAAAATGGTGCCCGACTAAACTAAGTGCAAATATATGGGAGTCCAGAGAGGCCACGTAAAACTTATTCTCGATCATAACCCAATCTAAAAACACGCTAAAACTGTGCAGCAGCAGGATTCCAGTCAAACCAGTGAGTTTGGCGGTTTTGAGACATCGTCTTTTATTGAAAAAAAAAACTTTTTCATTTTGCCAACGCGCATGGCTACGGCGACGCGCGCGCATACCAGAAACCGGAGCCTTTTTTTTTTGGCCTTAGTTCAGGCGGAACATTAAGTCGAATAATTTGCCTGACAGGCAAAAACAACAAATATTAAGAAATATTATGGTAATTAACTGTCATGCATGAATTTCAGTTTGAAAAAAAAAACCTTGCCACGATTTGACAGGCAATTTTTGCATATAAAACTGGGAGGCCAAGGCAACACATAGGCCTAACTTAAGTTTTAAGAAGCAATGTAGCCAGGACATTCATCTAGAGCTTACTCAGAAAATTTGGAAATCGACAGTTAATAAATGAACTTGTTTAACGCAAAAACAAATGATAATTCCATTATATCACTCTAACCTTAAAAGAACAAATATCTATAATATTTCCCATAAAAAATGTAACACAGACAGGGACATCTCATTCCTTAAAATATTATACAAAGACAAATTCACTGTTCCCTTTAAGGGCGAAGTTTCAGGTCGGACAAAAACATAGAGCATATTTATAAAAGAGTGATATATATTTTTATACATTCTGTATATCTGTATGAGCATAGTTATAGTGTCAAGCAAATCTTTTTTAACCTATATGAATAGCTGATATTAGTAGATTTCTTGTAAACTGTTAGAAAAAGTTGGCAACATGGATTTTGCAAATAACTTTAAAAAAAAATATATTTTTAAATTTTAGCAGTTATTTACAGCTATTTATAATTTGGAAGTAAACCACCAAACAGAAATATTGCCGTAAAAAAGTGACCAAAAACGTTCGAAGATGAGATGCTCCCCCCCCCCCAAAAAAAAAAGATGCAAAAAATGCAAACTTCCAATAAAGCTCTATCGCTATTTTTAATATTTTTTAATTGCACTACATTTATAGAAAAAATTCTTAAAAACATCTAATCTTCACAGTACGATTAAATCGATTCTATTTTTGCACTCTAAATTCCTGCAGACAAAATCTATCATAATGTACTAACATTTTTAAATTTATTTTACAATGCGCACTACAAATATTTAAATTTTACTATTTTTTTATGAAGAATAAAGCACTATTTGGTAAACAGTCATTCTGCAGATTTGCTGATCCATGATTTCAGAGGCTGAGCAAATTTAAAAAAAACATAAGCCGCCGTGTACCTTAATAAGCATAGAGATTGCACATAAGGAAAAGTCATAGAAAACGTAACTTATTTGCTGCAATGGACATTGAAACAGCACTGACATAAATTAACTCACAGAAACGAAGTCAAAGCATACAACTACACTTAGATTCAAAGTTTGAAGCCCATAATACTCACAGAAACATTCAAAAGAAGTAGACAACAATTACATATCATCTGTCATAACGCATAACATTTTAAAACTATCTGATGGTAGAACTATTTCATTTAAATTTAATTATTGAGTATATTTCATATAAGCTGCATTCGTTTTTCATCAGGCAAAAAGAAAAAAAAGGCATAACTGGCTACAGATATTTCTTTGTGACAAAATAATTTTTTTGGTAAATTTATCTATCAGCGCCCCATTGTTCATATATAAGAACATTATTCAAATTAATTTGTATTGGAACATTTTATTTCATACGATGTTCGAGTTCCACCAGAGTGATTTTTGTTGTCACGATCACTAGGGGCCAACACTGAGTATACAGTGTTTATAATTTATTTATTTCATGAATTTTTTTCCAGATTTTTCAAACAATGTACTTTGTCATATAATGCAAAAGTCTATGCTGATAGAAATGAACTTGCTACATGTTTACTCCAACTTTGGAGTTAGACTGATGCACTTTATGTTTTCATTTACTATTTACACCAGAGACATTTTCAATCCTTTTTCTCTGCCATCGGTACAATGAACTGCAACCACCGATCTTTCATTTACAGTCACTCCAAATGTTGCAAATGCCGAAGTTTTACTTGAACTTATATAAGTTCTTATTCTTATGAATAACCTGGTTTGGCATGACTCTAAAATGCCATTCTTAAACTGGTGTTGGCTTCACCTTTAATCTTGTATGATCGTAAAACCTGCCTTCTTCCACATTTTGGTGGTCTGGACGCCGCCCCTGTCATGGAGGATCTTGAAGCTCTGAGCTTTCAGGGCGTATTCCTCTGGGGGGTGCAGGTTCAGGAATTTCTGCATGGTGCCAAACTGGTTTCCACAGTAAAAAGTGCCGCATTTTATGAGACCTGCATTCACCAAACAGATACAAGGGTTCATAACATCAGTCATAATGAAGGATGCAAGTCAGTTCCTGCCCTGATTTTCAAAATCTTCAAGCTCCACTTGGAATGCTGCTTAGTGAACTTTTGGGGCCAGCATCCGTGTGGAACTCTACTAGAAGAATTCTAAAATGCAGTGTTCCCAGCATATTCCAAAATTCCATGAGAAATATTTTCATTTTAAAGAGGTTGCTGATGTGAAGTCAATATGTGGTTGCAGCAAAGTAACTAAGATATTGATAACTTAAGGACAACTTGTTGACAAGTGAGGGCCTCCCTTCTCCCCTTGTAGCCATCCTTTCCTCACCATATGCAACAGACGCAAACTGGTGAAAACATATTTTTTGGTGTCCCCCCCCCCCAAAAAAAAAATTCAGTTTTCATTTGGCACCGTTTCAAGGTTTAATACTGGTCATTCTGGAAATCCAGGAAAACATTGAAAATCAGTTTCCCCTCGATAGATACTGAAGAGCATACTATCAGCCAGTCCTATACTCACCAACTGTTTCGATGTCTGGGAAGCGCTGCGGTCTGCTGTATTTCACCTCCTTCACCCATCTCTTAAACTCCGGACTAATGCAACTCACGTGACCAGCATCCCCGTTTCGTCTGAGCTCTGAAGCCTTGCAAACGAGTGCAGAGCACTCCTTGCAGTGTATGGTGATTCTGTCGAGGCTGGTCATGGCCCACTGTTGTTTTGCCTCTTCCTTCGGTAATCGTATGTACTCCAATATCTTATTCTTGGTATAAAGACAAAGCAAGCCGGTCATTTGGATCTTACTCATTCCTATAGTCTTTACCTATACTAATTGTATAGGCTTAGTATAATTAAGGTGTAGTACTGAGACTTGTAGTGGCCAGGGAGTGTCATAGTGGATAAGGTTTGTGACTCAAGATCAGAAGGCAGACTTGGGTTCGAATCCAGCCGTTGGGAATATGTTGTGTCCTGATGAGGCAAGCCACTGCACCTCCTACTTGGAGTGCTGTGGCCTAGTCGTTAAGGGACTGATTCGTGGTCTGCGGCCAAAGCTGCAGGTTATGGGTTCGAGTCCTGGGGGGTCATGGTGCGTGTGCCCTTGGGCAAGGCACTTTGTCACTCATTGCTTCTCTCCACCCAGGAGTAAATGGGTACCTGTGAGGGTAGAGATGATTATGTGATTGATTTAGCTTGCTTGCGCCTAACAGGCAGCATCGAGCTGTATGCTCCCCATGGAGCTGAGATGGTATTTGGATTGTTTAATTGGCCCAATGATCTGGGGTAATAATAATACTGTAAGCGCCGTGATTTAGTTTACTAAAAAGGGCATTCTTAAATGCCGATTATTATTATTATTATTACTTGCCTCTACCCAGCAAAATGGGTACTGGCATTAGCTGGGGCGTAACCTATGATGAACTGGCATCCCATCCAGGGGAAATACACATGCGTTTCATGCTAAGAGATTCCTTTGGTCTGATGGGCCATTGAAACAGACTTTACTTACATAGTCTGTCATGGAAATGTTACAGACTGTTACTTGAGATTTCAATCCGGTGAATGATCACAAGCCATCGTCGAAATACTCAGCTAAATTACTTTAATGGGCAATCCCTGCAAAAGATATCCTCATCACTTATATAACATGATGAGTAGATTGTACAATGCCCTCAAAAGATTTGCACCGATAATTCTCCAAGATATTTAAGGTTCTAACTCACTTGTCTCTCCTGGATCCTGTCAAGTCGCTGATCCTCGGTCATTGCCTCCAGTTCTTCCATGGCCTCCTCCATCTTCTTAACTTTATTACGGTTGTCGTATTTTGTCTTCTTGTTCAGCAATCTACTGTAGATGGTAATTGATCACATTCAGAACATGTCTTCCAATCAAGTCTGCACATTTGACATCATGTTAAAAATTTCTCCAAAATGCCCCCAAAACAATCCCTGAGATCTAGCTTGGCCACTGTACATGTATAATTTGTTTACTTCCTCAATGAAAAAAGCATTTGTCTTTCTGGAGTGTCTTTACACATACCCTAGATAAACTGTTGTATACACGGGCCATTCTATAAATTTGGGGTCCACTTTCTTTTCAATCATTCATTCAACATGGTTTATTAACAAATCACGAAAAGCAGCCACAGCCGAATTGCACGTGATTTACATTTAAAAACAAATACATTTAAAAAAAGTTAAAGGCCTAACGAGTTAAAAAACAAAATATGACATTAAATACTAATATTAGAAACGGTTTAAACATTGTGCATACAGATCTGACTAAAGAAAATTGTCTATATAGAGAAATACATATTATTGTTACAGACTGTGTTGCAATCAATTTATCTTACTTTAAAAAGGGGGCATTCAAATTGCGTTATAACTTATAAAAGACATTCAAAAAGGTTGCAGGTAAAAAATGTATAGTTTCATTTAGGATTAGAATTATAAAAATGAGCCAGATGGGGAATGAGTTTAAAAATTGTGCAAGATGTGTGGCAGTCAAATTATCTTATTTAAATGAAAGGTAGTATTAAAATAACGTTAAAACTTGTAAAATACAATAAAAGCTTGCAGGTAAAAATCAATTCATTTCATTTGGGATTAGAGTTATACAGATGTACCAGATGAGGAATGGCACTATTCTGCATTCTTTTTGTTTTACACTTAAGTTGTAGGACTTTATTCGAATTTCTTAGTGTATGTTTCATTTTTGGAGGAGAATGGATAAAATCCTTAAATTGTTCAGTTTGTTTCAATGTTCTTTCGATGAATGATGTACATAGAGATTCTCTTCTTTGTTCCAAGAAGGGAATCCCGAGTTCACATAGCATCTCGGAATAACTGTTATAACCACCGCGTCCGGTGATTATTCGTAGAGCTCTTTTTTGGATGCTTTCGATGTGGTCAGACTGGGCGGTGGTTAATCCCCCATCCCATGCTGGTGCTCCATATTCAAGAAGCGGTCTAATGTAGCTGTTATAGATAATAAGTAGATCATGTACAGGCAAACAGTGACCTTTAAGAAGACGGAGCATGTAAAGTTTTCTACCTGCACGTTTAATGAGGTCAGTTATATGTGCGTCCCATTTCAAATTGCTCTGAATAAGTATGCCAAGAAGTTTAATTGATTGCACTGTTTCTAATTGATGATCATGCAGCATGAGCGAAGGTGGTGCTGGGAGGTTTCGCTGGAATGTTATTTCCATTGCTTTACATTTCTTTGGGTTTAGTTTCATGTTGTTATCCTTCGACCACTCTAGCAAAGTGACTGCATGCGCGACAATTGGTTTTGAGATCGGCATTCGACAAGAGTCATGTCGTCGACATATTTGTAGACGTTTATACCATTCAGTGGGGACATATCGTTGATCACTGCCAGAAAGATGATTGGCCCTAGACATGTGCCCTGCGGTACACCAGAGTGAAGAGTGGACCAATCAGACTCGGAGGTTTTGTACCGTACTCTTTGTTGACGTGATGTGAGGAAGTCTGCGACCCATGGGATGAGCGACGGACGAACACCGAGGTCCAACAACTTAGCAATTGCTATAGTGTGGTCGATACGGTCGAATGCTTTTGTAAAGTCTGTCACAACAATTGTAGACGAAGCTTTTGGAATTTCAGCCTTAGCGTAGACTTGGTGTAAAATGTTAATTAAGCAGTGGGTAGTTGACAGGAATTTTGATTCCCAAACTGGTTTGGGTCCAGTTTGGGCTGGATATCACTGAAGATCCATTTGGCTATGAAGCCTTCAGTCACCTTCGCAAAATGGTCTGTGAGAGAGATTGGGCGGAGTTTATCCAGTGTAGGGGGGATTTGTTTTGGGTACCGGGATAACGATAGCTCGTTTCCATTGATCGGGCACAATGCATTGTTTGAAAGATGAATTAATCATATGTGTTACGGGTGTCGCAAGTTCATAAGAGAATGTTCTCACAATCCTCGCGGAAATGTCATCTGGACCTCCAGCTGTCGTGCGTTTGATTTTCCCCAGTGCCTTCTGTACATCCCAAGGATAAACCTCAGGACATGGTGTTGAAGAGGGGAGGTAGGCCAGGAGTTTTGCAAGGTTTAGTGGTTCTAAATCACCCGCAATTGATACGAAGTGTTCATTGATTGCATTAGCGATCGATTTAGTGTCATCATGATTTACTCCTGGGATAGTGATGGGCGAGTGGTCTTTATTGGTGCCAGAGAGCACGCAGATTTCACGATACCAGGATGACGGATTGTTTTTCTTGAGCCTCTGAATCCGCTTTGAGTAATATTCCGTTCTTGCCTTTTGGATAGTTACGATGACTGTATTTTGGAGCCTCGTCCATTCATCAGTCTGTTTATTATAGTACGCTTTTTGACGTCTGCGGATAAGAAGTTTAATTTCGGGAGTTATCCAGGGCTTATCAGAAGAATGTACCTTAGCTACTCGGAGAGGGGAAATGCGTATTTATAGCTGTATGCAAGGTATTGTAGAATTCGGTACATTGTAGGTTGACGTCACTTTTATTGGTGACTTCTAGCCAATCATGTTCGCTGATCCATCTACCAAATGATCGAATGGCACTGTCTGGCATTGGAAGATTAAACCGCTTCTTTGTAATGTTGCGTTTAGGCGGCACACTTTTTGGTATCCAAAGAAGGGTTGCGTGGCCCGAGCGTCCTATTGGAGATGAGATTTGTACTTCTCCATAGAACCCACTTAAGTTACTAATTCTTCCTTTCCCTTTTACATCTAACATCTATGATTTTACAATTCTAATTCTTTAATGAAATCATCCTCTAAGAGTGATTATGAATAGCAAACTACATTTTTGTATTACCCAACAACTCATCCTGTGAAATCATTCATATGATAGTTCAGTGGCAAATTACAAAATAGCAAGGTACATGTATAAAGTAACTGGGACAGGGAAATATCACACTTTGTGCCTTAAAGTTTATATTATGACACATAAAAAGATGGCTCTTTCTTTTGTCATAATAATTGTTTCCTTTTCTTTACCTTTCAACAAAGAGGGAGTATTGGCTGCCCTCTGCCTCTGCTCTGGCCCTGGCTCTTCCCTTGGACTGCACTGTGCCAATCTCATTGCTGACAAAGTTGTAGCGGATGACAAAGTTACAGGCTGGCAAGAGGACACTACGGACATTGCCCAGGAGGGCAATGTCCGTCGCTACAAGCACATTGCATCCATCCTCTGTACAGAAAAAAATACATGTCTTGTAAAGCTGGTTACACAGCACACAAAATGCTGTTTATTCCCAATTGATTCACACAGTTGCTCTTCAACGGAAGTCTTGTGCACTTGGTGTTCATGATTCAATTGGCCAGATTTAGCACATTACAGGGTAGTCCAATATGATGGCACTGCTCTGCTTCATGGCCAATCACCAGACTAAGTTGCATGTGAAAGTCAGTCAGTCAGTCGGGCTTAAAGAGGACACTAGTGTGGCCCTCTTGGACCAACATGAAACAAACCTGGCTGAGAACAATGTTTTTTAAAAGTGTTAAAGGAAGAGCTCAGTGTTGGGAGGGAAAAGTGCAAGATTAAAAAGTCACAGGATGACGTACCATGTTTGAAGCTCTCAAGGACTGTCCTCTGTTCAGCTTCTACCAAACATGCATCTTCTATGTCTTCCTGTCCAACGAACTGCTGCGGGATAACTCTGCAAGGTAGTGCGTTCAGGAGTGTTGACTTGCTGAGGAAGTCAGCCACGGCAGTCGTAGCCAGCTTCAGTCTCAGGAGAACAATTCCTGGGGAGCAGATTATCCAACTAAATAAGGATTGTGGAGGCTTTACTTTTACACCAACCGACAAAAAATTCAATTACTTTATTGGTGAACATTTTGAAAATCTGTAAAGATTAAGAAGTAACCCCTCCCATAACGAGAATAGTAAGCCGATTCTACGAGTGAGTACCTACCAGTAGAGCATTATTCCCTTTAGAGGGTGCTACCCATTCATTAAGATTTATTTCTCTTGCAGCCCGCCTTCAATGGACCGATCCGGCCTGTCAATAGAACAGTGCTCACTGACCAATTCAGTTATAAGTCAGGTGACTTTATTGCAAAGAATGGCTATAAAAAAATTGCGCCGCTTTGAGAAAAGAGGAAGTAAAATGGCAGGCGGGCCGCAAGATACTGTTGGAAATGAATCTTGACGAATGGCTAAGCGCCCTCTAGGGCATAATGCATATGTAGCAATGATCTACGGGTTAGACTAGTGCAGTAGAAACAATGCATTTTTAAACATAAAACCTTAGACTAAATGTTTCCGGTGTTTCTTTGGCCCGCAACTTTAATTTAGAATTTAAAAATATGTTGCAAATAAGTTACCTTTTGAATCCGGTTTCTCTGTAAAGATGTCATGCAGAAGTGATGCCAGATTTCCAAGCTTCTCATTGCTGTGTTCACCCTCCACACTGCCAAGTCTTTTCATCTCTCCACGGTTTAAATCAAAGAGCTTCTGACATTGCACCTCGACGAGATCTTGCATTTTATGGGCAGTCAAGAGTGGACGGTCATGGAACTTCTCCAAATGGGAGAGGCAATCAGTTATGCTAAGGTCATCAAAGAGCATCATGGCACGATTGTACTCGTACAGGTACACGTAAACGACGATGGCGGTGCGATCTCCCAGCTTCTGGGCATCTGTAAGACGTCTCATAACTTCAGCTTCGTAGAGCTGGCAGCCGCGGGGAGGCAAGGGGTGCTCTTCAATATCTGGAAGCTGGTCCTCTATGTCGGTCATCAGAGCCTCCAGTAGATCTGCAAACTGCTTATCGTTGGGAGTGCTGACATATTCTATTTTAACCTCGTCTGGGCTATTAACATGAAGCTTCAATTCTGCCGTATTTCTAAGCACCCGGTCAACCCCCTTACAGTCCATGTTACCACAGAGGGTCAGGAGATGATCGACACTCTCAACACCCAGAGAAGCACTCAGTCCAATGATGAAAGGAAGGTGCGGTCCAGAGACTCCAACTCGCTGCGGCTTTGGGAGCCTCTGCTTCTCTTTCAGGTACGTCTTCATGATTTTTTTGTAAGGATGTTTCAGATCAGTGTAGTGACAATCATCAAAGATGAGCATGTCCAGATCTTTGATGTCAATTTTGTCGGACTTCATGGCATTGACAAGGATCTGTGCTGTCAGCATCAGAACTGCTGGCTTGGCATCATCAAGCTTCAGAGCATCTTCAAAGGACTGCTGCTCTCCAATGGTCTGCACATCCTGCTTGTTGGGGAAGTACCACCGGAATGCATCCCTCTGCTGCACTGTCAGATGACGCATGTTGACAAAAAAAAGAGCTTTGAAGTGCTTGTCGGGAACATTGGTCTCAAACCAGGTCCTGTACTGGTAGCAGATGTAAGCTGCTGTCAGGGTCTTCCCACTGCCTGTAGGAGCGCAGATGATGTGATTTTCGAAACCCTTAAGAGGCCTTTCTGCCAGCTCTCTCTGGTATCCCCTCAGAGTAGGTTGTCTTCGACCAATAGCCCTGGCTTCTTCCCTTGCATTTTGCTGATCATTGCATTTTGAGCCTTGTGGATTTCTTGCTTCTCTCACCCTTTCCGCATCGTTGTATGAATCTGTTGACATTTCCAACAAAGGCCCAGATGTGGAGCCCTGACCTTGGTGTGAAGAAGTAAACAGACCTGGAGGCTTGAGAGTTCCTTTTTGATGGACAGGGTCACAGGTCGGCAGTGGATTGCAAACTTGATGTAAGTTCTGATCAGGAGATTGACCATCACCTTTAAAGAAAATGGTAATTGATACATTTAGACCATGCTTTTAAAATTCTTCCTACAGTAACTTCCTGTGTGATGATGTCATGATTCTAAAACCTTGCAAAACCATTTGAATTTGTCCAAAGAATGTTTTGGGGCATGCAATTTGGCAATACAAATTTTATGGTTTTCAAATGAAACATCAGAACAAATTAATTGTCTTTTATGTGCCACTAGAGGGCGCCCCTTTCGAGTGATGACCCCTTTTTTTGTGGCCTTCCTCGCTAAACACTTCCATTATTTGTTTATCTGCAGTATAATGCTTCCATTTTCAAGTTATATTCAATATCCATTGCACTTCCGGTAACACCGGGAACAAAGGTCACGTGGCTTTGTGCCCGGGAATTCAAAATACTGCCCAATACGATGTCTACACTATTATAAAAAATGAGAACGGTTCTCCATTCAATTGAAAAGTTAGAGTTCTATTTTTTTCTTCCTCAGATATTGACCTGAAATCGCTTGCAATTTGATGATTGATGACGTTATCATGAGGTCAGAGTAATATGTACATCAAGGGTTTGTGCCCGGGAACCCAAAATATTGCTCTGTTGCCTTTTCAAAAGCATCCCATTTTTTACAGAAATTTTCCTGGAGTTTTTCTACATATATAGAAAATCAAATCAATGCAATATTAGCCTGTGGATTCTGTATTGTTAATTCTGCTACTTTTGAACAGCCGATTCACTCAAAATTGTCTTTATCATTGTTTATGACAGAAAATTACCAATTGTGTGGACATTAAACATAAATGCTAATTTTAAAAGAAGTTAATTTTTTTTTAAAGAATACTCCTTTTATGCTCCGGCAAAAATACTGTTACATTGTAATTTTTCTAAGTAAGACTGCGTACCTTTTTTATCACTCGCATCTTTAAGTTTTCTTAGAGCCCTGTTGTAATCTTCTTCCGAGATCTCAATGTCACCAGTCGACAATTCTCTGCCAAGGCACTCCTGAAATTCCCCGCTGGAGTATATCTCCCAGAACTTCTTCAGGCCCTCGACACTTCTGAAACCCAACAGGAGCTTGACACATCCTTCCTCCGCATCTTCAATCTCAGCATCACACCGGTCGAGTAACTGTACTACTTTTTCTGGCAGGGTTTTACCTCTTATCATTGTTCTTATTTCCTCAAGTAGATTTTCACTCGAATTCCTCCTGCATTTAGCCGGCATTACTGTTTTATGAAATAAAATATGAGAAATTTCAAAAGTGATACTCTAAAGTTTGCAAAGAGGGCACATGAAATTGCAATGATGAAAATGCCGAAAATGAGTTAAAAACTAAAATGACTATCAAATCCAGTAAGAAATAGAAAAACAACCAAACATACCCGCAATATTGGTGTGTGTTGAGTTTTGAACGAAAATGCAGTTTTGGTAATGATTGTCAGCACTCGCTTCTGCCCTTTTTTCTTCCTTTATCCGCTTCTCTGTGAAACCTATTTTACAGATAAAACATTCTTTCATGAAATTGGATCATGAATGAGAAAATTGTGTCAATCTGCAGTGTCCCTAACATGTCGCTCTTTTATTATGAAACTTTAAGAAAGTTTTCAAATTTAAAAGCCGTAACACAATAGTTCAGTTTTCAATGGTAGCTCGATCTGTGTTGTTATTCAATAAAGTCAAAGTCAAGGCATATCCGGTTCGTTAGTAAAAACGTCATACACGCGCGCACACCCCGGATTACTAGCGCCCATTGGCTGCAAACGCTCGAGCTGCGTTAACTTCCGGTTCCAATCGTGCAGAAATTGCTGGAGGTGACGTCACACTAACGAACCGGATAGTGTGGATTTTTCTCACATATGGCTCCTTACCCACACACAGACAAGTGTGTATTTGCCTGCAATGCAGGACCCCCTATTGTCCCTCTTTTGTTTGTATTCTAACTTTTTAGGAAGACCTCCAATATGTTTTGTTACCCATGTTAAACAACACAAACACAATCAGATGCATTTTTTTTTAATGTTCATCTTAAGTTGTTGTAAAACGTATATATGCAACTGTGGGTATTAAAGTATTATAACATGTATTTATCCTGCCTGCGAATCAGCTCTAAAATTTGACCCCCACTGGACATGCTGCTACATGCATGTCCCCACTATACTGCATGTAGTAGCACTTAGCCGCCATTACTGTTTTATAAAACAAAATATGAGAAATTTCAAAGGTAAAATTTTTAAATTTGCAAAGATATTTACTCATGGAATTGCAATGATTAAAAGATAGAACTGTGTTAAAAACTAGAATGACTTATCAAAACCAGTGCGAAATAGAAAAACAACCAAACATACGCGCAAAAATATCGGTCTTTGTTGAGTCTTGAACGAAAATGCAGTTCTCGTAACAACTGTTGTCCCTCACTTCTACCGTTTCTTCTTCCTTGTTCAGCTCCTCTGTGAGACATATTTTGGGGGGGATAAAGTATTGTCATGAAATTATAACCTAAATGAAAAAATTGCGTCAATCTACAGTGCCCTGAAGAGTGGCTCTTTTAAAATAAAACATTTAAAAAAATTGCAAATATAAAAGATAATTGTTCAGTTTTTTCAGTGGTCAATTCGATATGTGCTGTTATTAATAGACCTCTTTAGACACACCATTGGAAAGGCCTTCTTAGTTGATTTCTTCAAAATGACAGCATGCCAGAAAGAAAAATTTCACAGGGAGTTTATAGTCCCCTTACTATCTTTCCACCAAGTGTTTTTTTCAACACCAATTGCATCAGTTACTTTTGTGGGTAGCTGCAAATGATGGCCTGTAGCTTTAAAGGTCCATCATTATATTACACACTGTGTTGGTTCTTTGTTTCAGGTTTTAGATTATAGTTTTAGACAAGTTTTCATGCTGCGATTTTTAAAAGTCGAGCACATTTCCACAAATTTTGCAGCAATGTTTCATGACATCAAATTTGCATTGCAATGGCATTCATATAAAACCTGGCGTTTAAATTGTTCTAGTATGAGATGCTCCTTTACAAATTACCGGAGTAATAATCAAGTCAATATTCAATACAGGTCACAAGTCATCACAAGTCATTATAAGTCCCCATAAGTCATCACAAGTTAACATTTATAAGCCATAACAAATGAACAAGTCATCACAAGTCCTCATATGTCATCCAGTCTCAAAGCAAGTCACAAGCTGTAAAAAGCAATCCTTTGTCGCAGTTCATCCCCTGTTACTAAGACCCGACTTGAACAATAGCTAAAAGAAACAAGAGTGATTGTCACATTAGTTATAAACATTGTCACTACTATCCCCAAATGTGAGAAGACTGTTCTTCAGGTCATAACCGCCTGGACCTCCAACAGTACTTGACTCACTGCCTGATGAAAAGCTGGCTACATTCCCAGACCAGTTTTGTGGTCCGTTTGAGGCCTCTTTAGGTGATCCCTCTTTAGATGAGGCCTCTTTAGGTGACGCCTGTTGAGATGAGGCCTCTTTAGGCGAGTCCTCTTTCCTAGCTTCTGCATGAGCTGCCTCAGACTCTGTAAGTGAATTCACAAAGAGGATTCCTCGATGCATTACATTGTGAAATCCTTGCATTGTTTATATCCATATGACTGCCACAAAGCTTTTAAGTTAATCACAACAAATGACCTTTAAAATAGTGGCAAGACTATTAATTTTCAATTTATTTGTTCAATTAATGTTTTGCGGTTTTTTTTTGACTATCTGCTCCAAATGAAAGAAAAAAAATCAGTGAGGTTAAAGTGGTTAGTTCCATAATTGGTTGTAGAACATTGGATACATCATGATTCCTGAAATGTTTACTGTCAAGTTTGAGGCCAAATTGATCACCTTTATACAAATACTAGTGCTGGAAATTAACCAGCAGTTTTATACATTAGTAAAATACATGCAACTGCATGTTGTGAATAGACATAGACTTAGACATACTGGACGTACTTGTACCTTCAGAGAAAGATTCCACATGTGGGTTTCCCTCTGGGTTATGTGCTTTTACCAGGGATCTCTCATCATCCAAGACAGGTCCAGATGGTTGGGAGGCCATGACATTTGGCCCGTCAAGGGTTGGTGTCTCATTCACCCTAGCTCTTTCTGCCTTCATTTTGGATAAGAGCTTGGACTGGGGACTGGTCACAGGCATCCTTGCTTCTTGCCCGCTTGACATAGGATTTATAACAGAACCACTATCGCCTTGCTGGGCTGCATCGATGGATCTTGCCTTCGAGGAGTGAGGGCAGAATCCAGCAGGTGTCCTCAATGTAGCAGGATTCAGAGAAGATGGATAGTGGCCCTGTTGAGCTGATGACAATGATTGAGAGCAAACTTTATCATGATCACCAGAACCATTAGCATTTGGAACTCTATCCTGGGGTTGATGCCGTGGTGGTGCAGTTGATGGAGATTCTTTGGAACCTTTGGGGAAATTGAAATATGAAGCTTATAAATTGCCAATTCTTATGACTCTATTAACAAAGTTGTCATGTGTCAGGAGACGGTAGTACAAACATACAGCAAGCAATCAACAAAACTAAACAAAAACAAGCAATGCAACTGGCCAGGATTGACAAAAGTATAATAAAACACTTTGACTCGAAAGCCTGTCACAAAAAAATCTTAACTCGAAATATAACATACAAAAATTAATTTGACACATTGAGAAAAAGTTGTAATGAAAAAATAAGACAATTTAAAAAGATATGAGATTAAAAAGATTAAGAGTTAAAAAACATACTGCGATTTTAAGGCATCTAGTGCAAGGTCATACATGGCAATGAGAATGGAATAAGATCATTAGATTTGAAAATGTTAGTGTTCACAGTCTGTGAAAAATCTGGTTGTAACTTTCACAATGAGAATCAATTTGCTAAATTTTGGATACATGTACTGTACATGTCGTGCTATGTTCATATACTTAAATGCAACCCCCCTGTTTCATAATCCTGTTTTGCAGACTACCAGATCATATATCCAGGGAATTGCTATAGTGAGGTACATACCATAGTTGTATTGGTTTCCGAAACTGTTTCCAAGTGTAATAGGACTGTTCTTTGCTATGATCGTTAATCCTCCCGTTGAGCTAGCACTGGCACTGCCTGGGGTGGATCCTAGTGCACAGTTTGCTTCGAGTGGTGAGGCTGGTCCATCAGTAGAGCTCCCTGTTAATAGGGCATAAGGTTAATGGTGTAAGATTTTGATTGTTGTTGTCATCTCAAGTCCAGTCACAAGTGAAGTCACAACCCAAATTACGAATCCATTCACATGTAAGAGGGGCGAGACTTGAAAACCTAATCCCTTTATGCGATGCAAAAAGTTGGGAATTAAACCAGGGAACTGGCACATATTCCCTTTAGAAAGCATTCTGAATGGAATAAAGGCCAGTTCAAATGCAAACACGCAAATCTGTGACATTACAACTATAAGCTTTCATGCTGCAAATTTCAAAAGTCGAACACATTTCCACTCCAGCAAATTTTGCGGCAAACATTTTATGACATCAAAATTTGCATTGCATTTGCATTCGTATATGCACTGGCCTTTAAACTGTTCTAGTGTGAGATGTTACAAATTACCAGAGTAATACATGCAATCAAGTCAATACTTAATACACATCACATGTCATTATAAGTCCCCATATATCATCACAAGTCAACACTTATACGCCATAACAAATTATCAAGTCATCACAAGTCCTCATAAGTCATCCAGCTCATGTCAAGTCACAAGCTTTGTCGCAACTTATCCCCTGTTATTAAAGACCTGACTTGGATAATAGTTAAAAGAAACAAGAGTTATTGTCACATACCATAGTTATAAACATTGTCACTACTGTCCCCTACTGTGAGAGGACTGTTCTTTAGGTCATAACTGCGTGGACCTCCAGCAGTACTTGACTCACTGCCTGATGAAAAGCTGGCTGCATTCCCAGACCTGTTTTGTGGTCCGTTTGAGGCCTCTTTAGGTGATCCCTCTTTAGATGAGCCCTCTTTAGGCGAGTCCTCTTTCCTTGCTTCTGCATGAGCTGCCTCAGACTCTGTAAGTGAATTCACAAAGAGGATTCTTTGCTGAATCAAAGTGTTATTTAAGTCCTTGCATGCTATTATGTGACAGACATAAAGCTTGGAAGTTAATCACAAAGAAAAAATTCAAATTGATTTTTTTGATCTGCTCCCCGCCAAAAAAAGTGGTTAGTTCCTTTGTTGTATAACATTTGATTTGATGCCTGAAATGTTTGCTGTAAAGATGTAATGTTAGGCCAAAAATGATCACTTTCATACAAATTGTGGAGGTTAACAAGCAGCATTACATTAGTAAAATACATGCAAATGTTGTGTATGGACATAATATTATTGACTTCATACTTCAAATATTATTTTTTACTCCGCACGGAATTGTACTAAAAGCTAGAGTGCCTAAAGTCATCTGTGGCATATGGTAGACAATTATGTTGTGTCTGAAAGGGTATTTTGTGGCATTTGGTTTAGTTTTGCTATATAGGCATATTACTGTGTATACCCCTAACCACAGAGAAAATAAGGACATTTGGACACACTCTTACCTGGTATTATCTCCAGGAACTTCTTTCTCAGGTCATTTCGCTGCAGGTTCTCCATACTTCCGAGGAGAAATGTGAAATTGTCTTCTGAGATGATCCTCTTTTGTTCAAGGATTTCAAAGAGTGCCAGAGCATTCGTAATGCCCTCCTTCTGGCTGACTGTTAGGTAATCTTTGCAGAGATACTTCAAATTCCGAACTTCATTATCTGTCAATTCTCTTGAAATGGAGAACAGAGTTTCATGAAAGGCTGAGATTCCAGTGCTAACCATGGCTGGCTAAGTAAATCCCTGAGGAGATATAAAAAACAATTTATGAAAGCATTTAGGCCTATCCTGCCTATGTCATGTCATTACAAGTTTCAATACTCACATAACAGATTAATGGCTGAAGTTTGACAGAAGATTAGGGGGCGAACATTAGCCTATGGCCAGTCTTCTAGACTATCTTGAACTAACATGTTATTGTGATACAACAACAGGTTACTGAAGACCCGATTTTGCCATTTAAATTGTTATATTTCCAAAACACAAGCTCATATAAAAAAATGATTTAAAATATTCATGTTGTTGTGTCATTCTATTTTAAAGGAAATTTTTTTAAAGGAAATTTTTTTAAAGGTTGTAAAAAAAAAGAAAAAAAAAGAGGTCAGATTCCCTATGTCTAGTCGTTTCGTGAAAATCACACCACAAAGTCTTTGGCACAATGGCAGTTCACCGCCCGCTGTGGACACTGGGAGCGTACACATGTATCCTCAATGTACCTGTTTTCGAGGTGTAAGGATTTATTTCAAGCAAGAGAAAAACACCAACGTAGCGATCGGTTTCCACTTTTTTTCCGAAATTCGGGTGCCGAGTTGGCTAGTTGCCGAGTTGGCAAGGTGCCGAAATGGCAAGATGTCGAGTTGGCAAGGTGCCGAGTTGGCAAGGTAGGTGGCAACTGTAGCTACAAAACGTTTTCAATTTCAAAGCCAAACGGAGAGTGACGATACCGACGTATTTACTTGAAAGAATGCAATGACGACGAATGCAATGATTCATGTACTTACTTGTGAATACATAATGACAAAAAGGGGCGGCTGGGAAAAGAACACAACACTCACGCAGGAAAATTTGCTACGCACTTATGTCGCCATCATGCATGCAGGTCGTGTGTGCACAAACTGGACTCGATCATGAACACGTCCTTCCGTATTCCAAAAACCGCTTAAACTCCTTCATCGGTTGATATACACAGTTTAGTATAATTTGCTGAAGAAGCCCTACTTTCCGGTGTCTTTTGTCAAAAGGAAATAAGAAAATGACTCAGATTAAAATTTTTATGGCAATATTTCGTCCACCAGGAAAAGCTCCGACCAATCCGCATCTGTTTTTTTCCCGCGTAGCGGTGTCGCAATGCCACGCAGCCTCGCCGATTACCAGTGAAGAGTAAATCGTTTATTTCAATAACAGGCCACGTTTGGAACCACGGAAAATACCGGGATTTCCCCTCTTCAAAATAGTTTGTGTTTGTCGTCATCGGGGAATTACAAGGTAGACTAGCTTGTAGGCATTCATTGAGGTTTCCCACAAGTTTGCTCGAGATCATTTCATTTAGGAAAGAAAACTCAAATTGAAGTGACTTTTCTATGGTGTTCGGTTCTGAAGACAACACATCTTCATTTTTGAAAATTGCAAAATAGAACCATTTTAGGGCCTACTTTCATCTAAATTTCACAGAAAAAATATAAGCTTGCAGTTCTTTTTTTTTTTTTTTTTTTTTTTACAAATTCTCAAGTTCACGACCCTCAAAATGCTCTAGGCCTAACACCTGAGAATTTGAGGGCATGCAAATCGTGATTTGGCCGGCGTAGGCAACTTTGGCCCAATTTACAGGTCTACACCCTTTTTATGACTTTTTTGGCGTAGCCGTTCATTACACTTGTCTTGCGGGAAAAAAATGTCAAAAGGTTACAGGTGGGTCAGATCAATACCACCTTTATTTTTGCACAGTAATGGTCACGGACTACGTAACAGGGCTCTTGATTCTGTAGCCCCATAAATGTGGTCAATTTACTGGACTACCTCCGTAAATAAAGGCCACACTTCCACCATGTACAAAAACATGTCGAACTTGTCAAATTTTGATTTTCACATCTAGGCTTTAATAGTTTGTACATGTAGTTAATTTTTGCGTGAGAAGCCTACTCACCCTCTTTATAGGCTAATCAGAAAGTGCTGCCTAGTTTCAGATGTCTATTTTTCGTAAAATTTCCAGATTCGTTTGCACACGTTTGCGTATCAAAATTTCAACATAAAATTTCACGAAAATTAGACATCTGAAAAAGGCAGCACTTTCTGATAGCCGATACCGAGGGTGAGTTTGCTTCTAAAGCAAAAATAAACTACAAACTAAGCCCTACATAAGAAAATCAAAATTTGACAAAGTTCTACATGTCTGTGTACATGTTCCAAGTGTTGCCTTTATTTACGGAGGTAGTCCAGTAACTTGGCCACATGGCCGGCTATAGATTCTGGAGATGGTTGCTCAATATGAATCACGGAGTAGGCCTACGCCTTTCGTCGTTATGATTATGTAGTTTATTTCACTAGTTTGCTTTTCCAGATGATCTCGTTAACATTTGTAGGTTTCGTCCTAACAAATATATGTTGTAAATGTCGCATATTTTTTGTTTTACTATGAGTAGCTTTGTTTATGCATTCTTCTATTATGCTATCATCTCCATGTTGAAACAAGCGAAAGTGGATCGTTATTGTGGAGTACTTGGGAGAGTGTTCTCTAAAAAAAAAATAGCAATACAGCTAACGAAATCGCCAAAGTATTTAACCTTTATGTTTTATTCTCTTTTAAATTCATCTAAAGTTGAAAAATCATTTCAATCCTAGGGGAGTTATTTCTCTATGGGTAATTATGCAAAATTCAGTCTTTGACTGTTGACAAAGATTCTTCAAGGATTGAAAATAGATTTCCCTCCTTTGAGACACGATTGCCATCCACATCAGTATATTTACGTGTGGAGGAAAAGATTTTGAAAGCATATGGTGACGTTTTAAGTGAATTTTCAGAAGCCTTGGAGTCCTCATTTTTTTTTTTTTTTAACCAAATTGCACTTCAGCAATACGCTTTCCTTGCAAGCGTATTTTCACGTCTGATAGGCTACACTTGGACTCAGTGGATCTTTAGAAAATTCCCTTTAAACTTCATCACCCATATACTTTGAAAAATATTTTCCTTCCTGATGCCAAACGATAATTTGAGTATAAATTAAAAAATCACCACACTCTCTGGCGCAATAAAGTACCCAAAATAAGTACAATTAATTCATAGTACATATTTGTTAAAGTACAAATGTTTCAGTTAATTTTAAATGTAGCAACATTAGGTTCAACAAAGACAACAAGTTGAATCGAGCGGGATTTGAACCAAACACCTCCGGAAGACTTGTTGTGTCTGATCAAAATATGACAATAACACAATGATGATCAACTGAAAGGTCTCATTTGGTGGAGGCTGACAATCGCCGGTTCGAATTCCGTTCCAGTCGCTTTGTTCAACCTAATGCTGTTTAACGTGAATCAAGTCGGTTTTCCTTTTGAAGGCAATTGGATAATTAAAATCACAATGGTCATTATGTTTTACAAGCCTTGACTTGAATCTACTTCAAAAACTGTCTTAATTAGAGGATAGTATACCATTATTTTTCATACAGATACATTAATATTCACCATTAATTAAGTTCGAGTACCTTGTTAATACAGGTTCAGTCATTATTTCATTTGATAATGCAGCAGTATTATTTTTGCCGATCCATTAAGTCGCTTAATAAAACACGATATAGAATTATGATCACCCCTTTAGTAGAGGCGACACATTAAGTTGTATAACTTGCCTACGGACGGGCCAAAACTTAATATTGTAATAATCATACCGGAGTCTTATATAGCGCACGTATCTACCAACAATTAGGTACTCAAGGCGCTGGAAATTATGTCTATTACTAGAGACAGGTCAATAAAGTACATGGGAAATATGAGAACCATTATGTAGCACCTTTGTAATGGTTTACAAGGCGCTGCGGCGCATTAAGCAGCCACTGCATTAAGCAGCTACTAAGGAATATTATACAAATTAACTGTTCTTTTCATGCATGAATTTCATTTTGAAAAACAATGCCACGATTTGACATGACAGAAGTCTGAGGTAACACATTAATTAAGTTTTAACGTAGCCAACCCCATAATATGATCTAGAGCTTATTCAGCAGAAATCATTAATGTAGGAGCTTGTTCAACGCGCAAACAAAGTATTCCTCGTCTATATCATTCTTACCTTAAAAGAACAATAACTACAATTTTCCCAAAAAATCATAACACAGATACACCCATCTAATTTCTTAAAGAATATAAAGACACATACACTGTTCCCTTTAAGGGCGAAATTCTAGGTCGGACAAAAACATGTTTCCAAACGAGCAATATTTTTCCCCCCACATTGTTTACATTTGTATGAGCATAGTTAGAGTGTCAAGAAAAAAATAATACTTTTGACCTTTTTTGTAAACTGTTAAAAATAAAAGTTGGCAACATGGATTTTGCAAATAACTTGAGAAAAAAAATCCACAATATTTTGAAACTTTAGCAGTTATTTACAGCTAAATTCTAATTTGGAAGTAAACCATAAAAATAGAAATATTGCTATTTTTCCCCAAAAAATCGAAGATGAGATGCTCCCTCAATAAACCAATGCAAAAAAAATTAAACTCTTTCACTATATTTTTTAAAAGTCTCAATTTCGTTAAAATCGATTCTGTTTTGGAACAGTAAGTTCACGCAGGTAAATTTGCAGACAGTTGATATTGCTAAGTACAGGCAGATTAATTACTTAAAGTTTTGTAGCAAATTGGTTACTCATTTGCCTCTTAATTAAACAATCGTGAGTTTTCTGTACTGTTTTTTTTAGTACAGTAGTACCATTATGAGTTACTAGTGCAACTTCTTCCTTATAAATATTTGTGTATAGCGTCTTACATCATATATACTACAATGTAGCTTGTGTAAATGTCATTGGGACAAAATCTTATGAAAAGTGTCAATTTTTGCAATTTCCGTCATTTCAAAAGTGCAATTCTAATGTTAACTTGAGATAATCGGTAGGGTATGTACAAGCTGCGCACAAAGCGATGTTTCGCTGGAAATTAATTCACACTTGTTTTGCATGATCATACATTTCACACTTTTCAATGCAATTAAAATCTTTAATAATATTTACACAGGCAATTTAAAATTTATTTTACTATATATTATGCTCCCTAAAATACTTTTTAAAAACTCATAAAAATACTCGATTTTTTTCATGAAGAAAGCTCTATTTGGCAAACATTCATTCTGCAAATTTCAGTGGCTGAGCAAATACAAAAACAAACAATAGGCCTACTGCTAAACATAGAAACTGCACACAAAGGTTAAAGAAAAAGTAAAGAAAAGGTACATTAGTTGCTGCAATGGACATTAAAACAACACTGACAATAAAATCGCAGAGACATAGACAATTGCATCTACACTTAGATTCGAACTTGAAGCCCATAGTCATCAAAGAACTACTCAAAAGAAGTAGAATGCAATTACATATCATCTATCATAATGCAGAGCATTTTAAAACTATCTGATGGCAGAACTATTTCATTTAAATTTAATTATTGAGAGTATATTTCATATTATAATTAGCTGCATTCGTTTTTCATCAGGGCAAAAAGAAAAAAAGGCAAAATGGCTACAGATATTTCTTTGTGACAAAATAATTTTTTTGGTAAATTTATCTGATCAGCGCCCAGTTGCTCATACATAAGAACATTATTCATATTAATTTGCATTAAACATTTTATTTCATACGATGTAATTAGCGTGGGTTCGAGTCCCACCAGGGTGATTTTTTTCTCATAATCACTAGGGGCCAACATTGAGTATACAGTGTTTATAAAATACGTCGGTGAAGGGTAAAAACCCAATATTGATTTTAACATTTTTGTTATTTCATTAATCTTTTTCAACCAGATTTTCTTAACAATGACAGCTGGACAACTGTATTTTGTCATATAATGCAAAAGTCTATGCTGATAGAAATGAACTTGCTACATGTTTACTCCAACTTTGGAGTTAGACTGATGCACTTTATGCTTTCATTTTCTATTTACATCAGAGACATCTTCAATCCTTATTCTCTGCAATCGGTACACTGAACTGCAACCACCGATCTTTCAATGTTCAAATGATATATAATCACTCCAAAATGTTGTAAATGCTGAAGTCTTCATGTACTTGAACTTAAACTAGATCTTATTCTTAGGAATAATTTGGTATGGCCTGACTCTGAAATGCCATTCCGAAACGGATGTTGGCTTCACCTTTAATCTTTTTTTTCTTGTTTGATCGTAAAACCTGCCTTCTTCCACATTTTGGGGGTCTTGACGCCGCCCATCTCATGGTGGATCTTGAAGCTCTGCGCTTTCAGGGCATATCCCTCTGGGGGGTGCAGGTTCAGGAAATTCTGCATGGTGCCAAACTGGTTTCCACAGTCCAAAGTGCCGCATTTTATGAGACCTGCATTCACCCAAACAGATACAGGGTTTCATGTCATCATTCAGTCATAATTAAGGATGCAAGCCAGTACCTGTACTTGAATTTACCACACTGATCTTCAAAATCTTTTAAGCTCCTCCTGGATAGCTGATTTTTGATCTTTTGGGGACAGCATCCTGAAGAATTCTAAAATACAGTGTTCCCAGCATGTTCCAAAATTCCATGAGAAATATTTTCATTTTAAAGAGGTTGCTGATGTGAAGTCAAGATGTGGTTGCATCACACAGGCAACATACAGGCAACCTGTTGACAAGCGAGGGCCTCCCTTCTCCCCTTGTAGCCATCCTTTCCTCATCATATGCAACAGAGACGCAAACTGGCGAAAACATATTTTTTTGTGTTTTTTCCCCCAAAATTCAGTTTTCATTTGGCACTATTTCAAGGTTACCGGCCACCCTGGAAATCCGTGAAAACATCAAAAATCTGTTTCCCCCAAATGAAAAGCTGAAGAGTATACTCATATCAGCCAGTCCTATACTTACCAACTGTCTCGCTGTCTCGGAAGCGCTGCGGTCTGCTGTATTTTATCTCCTTCACCCATCTCTTAAACTCCGGACTAATGCAACTCACGTGACCAGCATCACCTTTCCGTCTGAGCTCTGATGCCTTGCAGACGACGGCAGAGCACTCCTTGCAGTGAACTGTGATTCTGTCAAGGTTGGTCATGGATTGATGCAGTTCTGCCTTTTCCTCTGCTAACCGTATCTCTTCCAATATCTCATTCTGTGTATGACAACAAAAAAAATCGGAAAGGTAAAGTTGGAGTTATCATTCTGATGGGGTTGACTTAAACCACTTGTACAGGCTTATTAGGCATGATACTCTGGCACAGGGGGAGTGTGGCCTAGCCCCTGGCCCAGCTAGACAGGCCAATCCCTCACCGGCTTCAGGATATTCATCAGGCGCAGTTCCCCTTATTCCTGACCTCTCGCCAGTTCCTTCTGCTTCTGGACGCTTCATTGCCAAATCCCTACTTTCCACGAAAAGCTGATGGCTCACTAATCAGGCAGTTAAATGAAGGTACTAGCGTTTGTCCATTTCAAAAGGATCTCTGTGGCATATTTTTTTTATGACTTATATTTCAGTGTCACCAAGCGCTGTGTAAAGTAAAAATGCATGGGCTCTACCTTCCTCAATCCTGCAAATATCTTCCAAAACCTAGCCTGGTGTACATTGAATGTTCTGGAAAGGCAAGGGCTACTAATAATAACAAGTTCACAAGTTCCTCCTACTTCACTCTTCACAGCATTCTAGTTTTTTGTCCATCCTCAGCTGCATGTAGCCATCCACATCCACAGCGTCGGAAACGAGGAGGCCTGACAGAGCGAACCAAATGTGACCCACGGAGAGAGGTCTAGTGGTTGCGATTTCTGAATCCAGTCAGAGGGTAAGGGTTCGAATCCAGCTGCTCACCAATTTGCTGTGTCCTGAGGTAATTAGCCATTGCACAACTTGCCTTTAGTAAGATAACGTCATTAACTGGGGAGTAACCTGCAAAAGACTGACATATCCCATCTAGGGCGAATGGAAATGTACCCAGTCGTTTCATGCAAAGATTAGGTACATTTTGGCTCGAGTGTGACCACCTTTACTTACTTACGGAGTCTTTCATGCAAATGTTTAAGTTTGTAACTTCATTCTTGTGAATGACCATTACAAGCTGTCGTCCACATACTCAGCCAAACTACTTCAATGGGCAATCCCTAAAGATATCCTAATCAGTTATGTAACATGATGAGTAGATTGCACAACTATGCCCTCAAAAGATTTGCACAACTGAGATACATCTCCAAGATAAGGTCCTAATTAACTCACTTGTCTCTCCTGGATCCTGTCGAGTCTTTGATCCTCAGTCATCGCCTCCAGTTCTTCCATAGCCTCGATCATCTTCTTAACTTTATTACGGTTGTCATATTCTCTCTTCTGATTTAGTGATCCACTGTACAGATGGTAATTGACACATTTAGACAATGTTTCCATTGCTTTAGCAAATCTGCACCTCTTACATCATGTAATAAAAATATCTTTAAAATTCTGTTAAAACAAACCTCTGAGCCCCAGTGAGCACTCTGTATTTTGTTCACTTCCCTAAGAAAAATGTTTGTCACAAGAGGTGTAGACATTGATTTAAATGAGATGTGACCCTATCTCTTTATCCATCATCACCCATGGGAGAGCTCCGAAGGCTATTTTCTTCACCTTTCAACGATGAGGAAACACTGGCTGCCCTCCGCCCTGGCTCTTCCCTTGGATTGCACCGTGCCGATCTCATTGCTGACAAAGTTGTAGCGGATGACAAAGTTACAGGCTGGCATGTCCAGCCCTTCCTGGGCAATGTCCGTCGCAACAAGCACATTGCATCCATCCTCTGTAAATAAAAAACCCCAAAAATCCAAGTCTCATAAAGCTGCGGTCCCACAGCGCCCCAAATTCTATTCAATTGATTCACACAGTTGCTCTTTACTGGAAGTCTTGTGCACTTGGTGTACATGATTGGCCAGATTTGGCCCATAATTTGGTAGTCCTTTACAATGGCACTGCCCGGCTCTCTTTCCTAGCCACTGAACAGGCTAAGTCACAAGTGACATATTCAGTCAGTTAGTCAGTTTAGGTTCAAAAGAGGAAACTAGTCTGGCCCTCTGGGACCAGCACAAAACAAACACGAAATCTGGATACCGACATTAAACCAACTCTGAAATGGCTTAGTTTGAAAGGACCTTAGTTTAACCAGTTCGCGCCGGGATTATTTTGACAAGAATGGAACGAGGTGTGGAATTATTATTCACTCGACCTCAAGCCACGCGGGTTGAAGCCATCACCCTCAGGTAGCTCGCTGCGAGCGGGTCGCTGACAGACATTTCCGGCTTTGCTCCCTGCATGTTTTATCCGTCATCCATTCAGAATACCGCAAAACTTTTGCTTGTATGCACGTCACCCGGTGTGAACTGGTTAAGAGTGCTATAGGAAGAGCTCAGCCCTGTAATAAAGGAATAGCAATGTGCTAACAGGAAACAACTGAATACATTAACACAGGACAAGATCACATACCACGTTTGAAACTCTCAAGGACTGCCTTCTGTTGAGCTTCTGTCAAGCATCCATCTTCTATGTCTCCCTGTCCAACAAACCGCTGTGGGATGACTCTGCAAGGTAGTGCTCTCAGGAGTGTGGACTTTTTGATGAAGTCGGCCACAGCTGTCGTAGCTACCTTCATTCTCACAAGAACAATTCCTAGGGAGCAGAATACATCACCACAAAAAGAAAAATTCTTCAACTGTTTCATTGGTGAATGTTTATAGAGTATATCTGTACAGATTAAGACGTAAAACAGTTTGAACCACAAGACCTCATATTAAATGTTTTATGTGTTTGTTTTGGTCCACAATTTATATAATCGAGAATTCAAACAAGCACGTTTAAAATAAATTACCTTTTGACTCTGGTTTTTCTGTGAAGATGCCATGCAGAAGTAATGCCAGTTTTCCAAGCTTCTCATTGCTGTGTTCATCCTCCGCACGGCCCAGTCTTTTCATCTCTGCGAGGTTCAAATCAAAGAGCTTATGACAGTGCTCCTCGACAGGACCACTGTCATGGGCAGTCATTAGTCGACGATCGTGGAACTTCTCCAAATGGGAGAGGCCATCAGTGACCCTAAGGTCATCATAGATCATCATGGCACGATTGTACTCATACAGGTACATGTAAACGATGATGGCAGTGCGATCTCCCAGCTTCTGGGCATCTGTAAGACGCCTCATAGCTTCAGCTTCATAGATCTGGCATCCATGAGATGGTAATGGATGCTCTTCAATATCCGGAAGCTGGTCCTCAATTTGGGTCATCAAAGCCTCCAGCAGATTAGCGAACTGCTTATCGTTGGGAACTCTGGTAGAGACAATTTCTATTGTATCCTGATCTGGGCTATTAACATGCTCCTCCAACTCTTCCAAATTCTTTAGAACCCGGACAACCCCCTTACAGTCCATGTTACCACAGAGGGTCAGGAGATGGCTGAGTGCCTCATTCCCAACACCCAGAGAAGCACTCAGACCAATGATGAAAGGAAGGCGCGGTCCTGAGACTCCAACTCGCTGCGGCCTGCGGAGCCTCTGCTTCTGTTTTAGGTACTTCTTCATGATCTCGTTGTATGGATGTTTTAGATCAGTGTGGTGACACTCGTCAAAGATAAGCATGTCCAGATCTTTGATATCAATTTTGTCGGACTTCATGGCATTGACGAGGATCTGTGCTGTCAGCATCAGAACTGCTGGCTTGGCTTCGTCAAGCTTCAGAGCATCCTCAAAGGACTGCTGCTCTCCAATGGTCTGCACATCCTGCTTGTTGGGGAAGTACCAACGGAATGCATTCCTCTGCTGCACTGTCAGATGACGCATGTTGACAATGAAAAGAGCCTTGAAGTGCTTGTCGGGAACATTGGCCTCAAACCAGGTCCTGTACTCGTAGCAGATGTAGGCTGCTGTCAGGGTCTTCCCACTGCCTGTAGGAGCGCAGATGATGTGATTTTCGAAGGCCTGAAGAGGCCTTTCTGCCAGCTCTCTCTGGTATCCCCTCAGAGTAGGTTGTCTTCGACCAATAGCCCTGGCTTCTTCCCTTGCATCTTGCTGATCAAACAGCTGATTCATACGACGGACTTGGTCTTCCGGGGCCATTTCAGGTGGGGGCCTCTCCTGCCTTGCCTGAGGATTAATGCCATCAGACCGATCTAACAAGGGCCTAGATGCTGACTGATGATGTGGGGAGGATGTGCCCTGTGGATTCCTTGCCTCTCTTGCCCTTCCTGTACCACTGGGTGAATCTGTTGACAGATCCAACAAAGGCCCAGATGTAGAGCCCTGACCTTGGTGTGAAGAAGAAATCCCAACCGGTTGTCTGCTCTCTCGCACTGGTTGATTTCTGTTGGGGGACTGAATCAAAAAATCCCAAGCCGTTGATCCCAGACTCTGCTGAGAAGATAACATCTCACGTGGATTGCTTCTGCTTTGGGCACCTGTCCCCGGGGTCACTCTGGATGGAGTTGCTGAACCTCTACCCTGGCCAGTGCCTGACTGTGATGGTGGGCTTCTTGGTCCAACTGGCATGGGTGAGTCGGTCTCGATATCATCATTATCTGGAAATCCAGGACTTTTACTTGCTTTCATTGATTGGTCTGACTCCTGCAGAGACATATTCCTCATCATCCTGTTGACACTGCTTCGGGTGCTTCCCTGGACCAAATTGCCAGTATTTTGTTTCTTGGCACTTTCAAAGCCAGATCCTGGGCTACCAGATGTACCACTATGTTGTGATGAAAATTGGGCAGACCCAGCATATGTATCTTCCTCAAATAAAGATGCTCGGACTTTGGGAGAAGCAGCCTCATGCAAGGATTGCCCGGAAGGGTTATTCTGAAGGCTGGTTGATCTTGCAAATGACCTGTCTTGCGTTGACTGACCATCTCTAGCAGTTGAGATAGGAGAACCATCAACTTTGAAGATTGCTCTACTTTGGCCAGCAGAAGATGACCCACTAGAATGACTTCTTAGAGTCTTAGGACGCTCAGATTTAACTTGTGGGGAAGTGGGAGGAAAATGACCTGGAGTCATCAGAAGTCCTTGTGGACTGGAAGGGTCAAAGGTCGGCAGTGGATTGCCAACTTGATGTATGTTCTGATCAGGAGATTGACCACCACCTTTAAAGAAAATAAAGTTTAAGTATTTCTATCAGTAATAAACCTATGACGTTGAAGACAACAAGAAGCGACAACAAGAAGCACCAAAGATAAAGTGAACTGTTAACATTAAAATCTCAGGGAAAATATGCATTTTAAAAAAACATGATAAATCAAACATATTCTACATACCAGGGTTTATTTCATGAAGAAACATCTTCTTCAAGTCCTCTCTTTTAAGTTTGGTGAGAAGTGACAGCAAAAAAGTGGGGTTTTCCTCAGAAATTTTCCCTTGGGTTTCAAGGGCCTCAATAATATCACAAGCATCTGCAGTTTCTCTCAGAGATTTAGGCAAAAAATCCATGCATAAGAATTTTATGCTTTTCAATTCCTTATCGTCCAGATTATTGCCTATTTCATGAAGGGCTGAACGGTAAGGTGACACACCCACAGTAGCATCACTACTGGCAGCCATGGCTGATTCTTACAAGTGTGCTTTTTCTTATTTATTGTGAGGGTTCTTTCACCACAATGAATTACTTTTTAAAGTTAAGTCATATGGATGCAAAAACTAGGGCAAGTTCATCAGTAAAGATCCAAATTTCCTTCTCTCTGAAAGCCACGAAAGAACTGTTCCATGGAGATAGCCTCTAAATTTCAGAACAGATCTGAAAATAAAAAAGAAACATTATGGAAATAAGTAGTCAGTAAGTCAACTTTGATGGAATTTTGTCCGAGAAATCTTAATTTGTGTATACAAAAATAAGCTATATAAGTTAGTAAGTTAGACTAAAAGTAATAACAATACATGATTGTGATTAAAAAATGCAGGGACATTCATAGCTGGAGTTACCCAGCCCTAAATTTTATCATTGGGTTGTCATTTAGGGCTGGAGATAATTTTTCACGTAACCCAGCAGCGTAGGCAGGTCCCAAAAAAAATTGCGAAAAAAACATTTTCGAAAATGTTCAATTTTGTCCCCGTTACACACTAATTGCAACTGCAACTCACCCCAAACTTGCCTGGAATAACCATTACACAGGTCCTTGAAGTAAAAAACGATCCACGATGAAGATTCAGCCTACAATTGCAGTGAAAAAAGGAGGAATAACCGCTAACCTGACAACCTTGCAGGCATGGCCAGGACCGCAATTGGTTTGTGCACAAAAAAAATTGTGTACAATGAATGGCGGTCGATTACCATGCACAGCGCGCTGATACTAGTCGTTTTTGCCGGCTGCGCTGGCTAGCTGTTGGCGCATGACGTCACGCGGAAGCATAACACCCGATGACTGTTTTATGCACTATCGGTTGCGGTTCCAGTACCGCAGCTGTGATGTGAGTGGTAAACGTCATATTAGTGCATGAAACATTTTTTCGGAGACCTGCCTACGCTGCTGGGTTACGTGAAAAATCTCCAGCCCTAAATGACAACCCATTGATAAAATTTAGGGCTGGGTAAACTCCAGCTAGGACATTCAGCACGTGCACGCAAATATATGATCGATCGATGATTTTCGATTCGCTTGGAGCGGTTCTGTGGGAAAAAGCTTGGTTGGGATGGACGTTTTTGTACTTAGTTGGTGTTTTGTAAAGCAAACAGTTTAGCGGGGTAATCTGCCTAGTAATAGTATGAGTATGCTCCACTACGAGTATGCATATGGCGATATGATTCTCAATTTTATATCATCTGATCCTCATCAGCAGAAACTTACCATCCTTGGTCTGCTCCATATACTATACATGAAGTACATTATAGGGGAGTTGACAAGTGATCTTGATCGTCGGTTAACAGTTATTTTACTCAAATAATGACCGGAATTTAACGACCAAACATTCTATTTCTAGTCCTTGTGCCTTGTGGAGTTGTGGAAAACCCAAAGTTTAGCTGGTATCCGCACCGCGACGTAGCATTCGCTCGAACTCCCTGCCCTGCAAACAGGACGCTGGTCAGGGCTGATGAGCTTCACAGAATCTTGTGAAGGAAGTACAGATTGACCTTCGCATGCAGCTAGCGCGCGCTACGCGTGATGGGCACCGGAAGCTAGTTCGTGTGACGCGTTCTACGTCACAGGTCACACAAATCTATCCAATGAGAGCTCAAATGCGTCAGCCCTGACCAGCGTCCTGTTTGCAGGGCGGGGGTACGAGCGAAGACGTGGCACTGACCTGCGCGCACATTGCAATATGGGCGTCGTGTGTACGTACCAGCGATGGTATTGCACATCGGGGGAATTCCCGCGTTGGTAAAAATAGACATAATACACTGCCAGCACTTCCCGCACCACTGCCGGGCGGAACACATGCATTATGCGCGAATGATCTGATCAGAATAAAATGGAACTGCGTGACATGTGACGTCACGCAATAGTCCGTCAAAAACAATCATTCAACCGAAAATAGGGCGAATATGAGAGATAAAAATATATTTCTAACAAAATTATTCATTCCATAATGGAAATATATTGTTGATGTACCCTAACGTGGCGCGGCCCCCAACGTGGCGCACTTTGATTTTTCGCCTGTAGCGCCTAGCTAGAGCAAAAGTTTTAACTGAAATTTCACAGAAAGTGAAATTTCATCAAGTTCTAAACACTCCCGTTCATAAATTGCGAGTTTACTAACCCGCTACAAAGTTAAAAAAAAATAAAATATTTTGGCGTGATTTTCCGATTTTATTTCAAGTGCAAAGTGAAACCTTTGAAAATGCCCCGAAAAATAAGAAAATAATTTTCTGACAAACATCTGGCTGGGTATGTAAGTAGAAATAATAATGATTTATCAGAATTGATCAAGTTTACAGAAATTCTTAAATGTTAATTTGGAATTTTTCCGAGATTTATTTAAGTGCGCCACGTTAGGGAACACTCCGCCAATTTGTGCCCAATTTCCGGATGCCACCGTTTTTTAATTTTGACTTAAATTTTATGAAACCGAAATTGTTCATGGAGGTTAAATAGCAAGCATTAATAAGGTAAAAGTACCAGTATTTTACTGCATGAATTTGAGGTTTGTCAACAAAGAGGTTTGGCAACACTACACGAGGAAAGTTGGGTAAGCTTCAAAGTGCGCCACGTTAGGGAGCACGACTATGTTATGATGTAGTTTGGGCAAAAAAAGATTCGCAGGAGGAGGGGTATTTACCCCCCCCCCCCCCATATTTTGTAAATACTGCCCTTTTCCATTCTATAGATGCCCTTCTTCAACCAGCGCTTACCCCTTCCCCAATACTTTGTAAAGAGTGCCCTTTTTCTGAACAAGTTCCCTTTTTCTGAACAAGTGCCCTTTTTTTTAATTAAAAAAAAAGCCATGCCGTTTTTTGTGCCATTGGCCGTTCCGGGTGCCTTTTTTGAAAAAGCACCATATAATTATTGGCCATTAGTGAAGTGTGCATAATGGTCAGTTTTGAACAGCGCCCATCGACAGATGGTACCAGCCGCCCATTTTCAAGGAAAAGGCAAGTAAGAAAATAACAAACGTGGACGGACAAAAAATATCCAATCTCAAATATCAACTTTATTTTTTATTTCATACAAGTTTGAACCATGTACGATATTAAAATCTATACAATAGCATGATTGATCTTAAATCAATACAGTTGTCGCTCAGATTACAGCTTATGTTGTAAGTTACATTTATTTAAATTACATGTATTGATACAAAATGAGTATATAGTTCTCTAAAATCAAATAGGCTTCTTCATATGATTTTGGACTTGCTTAACCAGAGATTGACCGGCTATACATCACAAGTTTGAAAAGATCACCTCCAAACGTACATTCAAAAAGGTTACAATAATGGTAATTTGATTTCACCAAATATCAAAGATGGAGAAATGAGTTGTTGGACCTGGTCAATACTGACCACCCCCCCCAAAAAAAAAAATCATTTTTTTTTATCATTTGCTTTGGATACAATGTGATCCCTTTAATTTAATAAGCGTAACAGAAACAAAACTTGATAGTTTAACCTTTAATGTCACTATATACATGTACACAGGGATCATATTAATAATATCACACACCCTTGTTAATAATAGATGCTGTCTCGGAGCGCCCTCTGTAAGAATGCTGTCTTCCATTTATAAGCGGCAGGCAATAACTTCATCTATGACACTGTTGATCAAGCCAATGCACAATTCGAAATGTGGCAATAATGTAACTGCCCCTCCATGATTTGCCTGCCACTTCGGGGATTAAACAAGAGAGGGCGGTCTTTAGGTGACAGAAAACAAATTCAATTTAGGTTTATCTTGAGATTATAAATTAACCAGCCTCTGTAGCTTGCCAACAATGATTATCAGATTGAACTTTGAAGCAATAAAACCACATTATTGCAAGTAATAAATATTAGTAAAATACTCTAATAAAATATGCAACAAATCTGCGGATCTAATATACATGTATAGGTTATGTAAGTATTATACTTCACTAGTCAGTACAGCAGCACACTAGGAAATGGTGATTACATAATGAAATGTACACGATGGGAACATATTCTGCAGACACAAAAGGTTATTGTGTGTGAAGTGTGATCATTAAAGGTAAGTGTGGAACGACCGTCCAAAAGTTGGCTACTTTTAAAGATGCAACAATTAACACTGGGCTTGAAATGAAAAACTAGTAGATCAGGGATTGATTATAGACCATTTGCATTCAAGGCCAAGTTTGAGATATAGTTTTGTTTGCTGGTCTAGAGGGCCAGCCCACTGTCTCTTTTGTGCTAGACTTAATTGTAACATACTCATGTATTCACGTGTGGGTTCTTAAGCAATGCTTTATTACAACTTGCGTACATAGCATATCGGCACGTATCCCACTTCTGACACCATTTAACGTACTCGCGTATTCACGTGTGGGTTCTTAAGCAATGCTTTATTACACGTTGCGTACATAGCATATCGGCACGTATCCCACTTCTGACACCATGTAATGTACTCGTGTATTCACGTGTGGGTTCTTGAGCAATGCTTTCTTACACGTTGCGTACATAGCATATTGGCACGTATCCCACTTCTGACACCATGTAATGTACTCGTGTATTCACGTGTGGGTTCTTAAGCAATGCTTTATTACACGTTGTGTACATAGAATATATCGGCACGTATCCCACTTCTGACACCATGTAATAACGTATGTATTCACATGTGGGTTCTTTTACACATTGCATACATAGTACATATCGGTACATGTACGGGAGCCTCAAAGTGACATATGTGACAGGCTGACTGGCCGACTGTTACTTGAGGCTCAAAACTCTGATTCGCTGACAGATGACAACCCTGACTCCTTATATGAATTTGGTTTCAGGCATATACTGTAATAGGCTTGTCTGGTCTTGATTTATGTTCCTTTAATTCAGTTAAAATGAATGCACACAAGAAGACTACTGATGCCAATTCTTGTGGTACAAAAGCAGGCCCCTCAAAAATTGCTACAATGCAGAGGTCTATATAGACACATGTGAGTTCACGATGGAATGCGTGAAAAAAAAAAATTGAAGGGCCCCGTAAGTATCTTTTTAGACAAAGCACATAATAACACCTACCTTTAATAAAAATATAACGAAGTTTTGAAACAAGTGACCAAAAGTGGGCATGAAATGAGTTAAATAAATTCTGAAGTGAACGGTGACAAAAAAGGAAAAAAATATATAAATACAACTATCAGCTACATATGCATAGTCCATCCACATTATACAAACAAATCACTGTACATTATAAACACTAGCATGGCAAGACACATATATACAGGCACAGGTCGATCCATGGTGTGTAGGCCTCATCTCGCAAATAAAACCATGTCCAAATTGGATATTTCTCGGCTGTGGCTTTACTTTTTGTCATTGACATTCAGTGGGCCTGGGGAAAGCCATAGTCATAACATAACTGGCTGTTTCGGACACCTCTTAGACCTTTGATTTTGGACATCCACAAAAAAAAAAATTGAGAATAAGAGGCCCCAAAAAATCTAGTTCAGCAACACTGAGTGACACGCCCCCTTTTAAGGCCCTTTAAGCCAATGAATGCTGTTCATAGTGGGGATTTTTTTTTCAAACTGGCCTTGTGAAATAATTATATGGAAATATTTTGGAACCCAAACAAACTTATTAGTTTTTTTTTCTCAGAAAACCAGTGAGTTGGAGCATAATTTTTTTCCAATTAAAATGTAAAAGTCCTGTTCAAAAACCTGGACAATCTTTTCCAAGAAAACCCTGTGTGCCTTTGAAAAACACTAATGATATTGCAGATGATGAGTTGTATTCAAGCTCCACAATGCCAATGTTTGAGTTGTTTTGGAATTTGCAAGTGAAAAGTCCAAATCAGGTTACCTCTCCTCTCTAAAAGTACCTCACATTTTCTTAATGTTGAACAACTGATCCAAATCTACAATTGCAGGGTTAATAATAGTGGGATGCAAAACATAAAAAAAATTGCTATTTCTATATTTTGAATTTATTGACAGCCAGCCAGCCATTGCCAAACATTGGTTGTTATACAATTTGTCATTTGTTTTATCGAACTAGTACAGTTTGCAAAGACCATGAATCTTGCTTTTGAAACAAACCAAATCAAAACTAAACAAAAATAATTGCACAGTGCGTCTATTGGTAGACTTGTACAAGTCAGCTGACATTGTTTTGTGTGTTTGCTGTTTGCATCAGAGATTGTCAATTTTGAAGAGAAAAAAGGCTGAAAATTTATGAAATGTCTGAAAGATGCCTATCTTTCTATACTAATAACGTCTTTCTCTCAGATTCAGAAAGTCTCATTTCAGACTAACTCTGAAAAAAAAATCTCATACCTGTTATCAATTGACTGCAGTGTCTTTTCTGCAAACTTTACATTTTTAACTGAAAAATGAAGTACGCAATCAATAAGAGAAGGAATTATGGGTGTTTTCTCATTAAAATTCAGAAAACTTGGTATAAATAGATACAGCTTAAAAACTTCTGAGCTTTTCTAAAGCAGTGGCAATACTGACTTGTACAAGTCTGCAAAAAATAAACAAACAAAAAACAGCTACACGATACGATCATGCAAACTCAAAAAACCAAATCATCAGAAATGAACGGCCAATTCCTTGATCAGACGATCCGAGGCGGCGGCACACACTGAGCATGAGCAGTGCGGCACAGCGTCAGCAAAGATCATGCAGATAGCTGTAGATCAGTGTTGTAGCCGCGTCAATCGCAAGTCCTATCACAAGTCTCATCGCAAGTCATAGGTCCAGTCACAAGTAAGGGGATGAACAATGACAACGGGATGAACGTTGACAAAGGAATTTTTTTGTTATGGTTCATTTGAATAGCTAGTGACTTGACTTGGGATTGAAGGACTTGTGATGGACTGGAAGGGACTTGTGATGGACTCAACCACAGCACTGCTGTAGATGTATAGAGAGACACAAGATGGCGTCGCAACCTTCACCCCACGGCTCCTGCAGCAACCTCCATCCCAAATGTACCACTCTTTCACTCTTTACCCCAAAAGGTAATTTATGGACTCTGGGTACAAGTACTCCCTCAGTGGTTGTAAAGGGAGAGTTGGGGAAGACCACTGAGAGGGACATTCAAATGCATTCCTAATAAGCCATTTGCGAGTTAAATTTGAATAAAAATCTGGAACGCTGACTTAATCCAATGCTTTGCACGTTTTAACTTTGCATTCTCCCGACCAAAGAGACTGTTACTATATATCACGTGATACGGGGCAAGCCTTATGCTAGCAACCCCCAGCTCCAGAATGGGGCGTCTTTGTGCCATTCTCACCCACTGTGAACATTGGTGCTGAGCATCTCTTACTAACTATGCAAGAGCTTGCCCCGAATCATGTGATTAGCAACAGTGTCTTTGGTCTGGAGAATTCAAAGTTAAAATGTGCCAAGCATTCTGAGCAAGTCAGTGTACCAGATGTTTTTCAGATTTCAATCCCAATGGGTTATAGGTCACTCACAAATGGCTTATTGTGCCTGATGGTCATTACAAGACGCTGCCGGTTTTTGGCACATCCGGAATAAAGTCACGCGTACTTCGTGCCATTCGCACACAATGCGCGCAGTCAGCGCATCTTTTCTTGTGGGGTTTCGCAAGTGGTTGAAAGAGCGCCCTCTACCATTTGTGCACAGAGTCCATTCCATTTAACCGAGAAAACCAAAACTCAACTATTTGGGATGGAGGTCGACAGCATCTCCGAGGGGACGAGGGTTGTTGAAACACAATGCATGCCAGGACTAGATGTAATACTGCATGCGTGACCACGGCACATGCTGGTCCCCGAGATTTGCGAGATCAGCTCTCTGCATCCTGTGAGGTGCAAAATAAAGAAACCAGTGAATTTTTCATACACAAGACATTACATACACAAGCTGCAGATTCGCACAGTACACAGTGAAGGCTACAGTACACTTGGGTTGACCCATCGGCACCTGTACAACATTGTATTGCATTGTAACACATTGTATTGCAGTGTAACACATTGTAACACATTGTGTTGCAGTGTAACACATTGTATTGCAGTGTAACATATGGCATTGCAACACATTGCGTTGTATTGTAACACATTGTATCGCATTGTATCGCATTGTAACACATTGTATAACATTGTGTAACATTGTGTTACATTGCACTACATTGTTCTACATTGTACTACACTGTATTTATTCCCTAAAGAAACCATAAAACATGTGTGCTCATCAAGCAGTTTGGGTTGTACAGGGACTAACAGGTTAAAAAGATTGCTTTTTCTTGGTACCCTTGGCATAGGTATGCTGGTTTTGTCTACCTACACCCCTACCCTTCCCCAGGGTTTGTTGTTGAATGATCTGAATGCATTTTCATTGGACTATTTTTCTCAAAAAAACTGCCAACTAAGGGAACAAAAACAGGTTCTTACCCAGAGTTATACCTCACACACTGAACACAGGGATGTTTTCTTACAAACAAGTTAGCAGCCAAAATGTCAAACGATGTTCACTGCTTCAGTCAGTTTCTTGATTCTTGCTAAGCTGATCTGCTGTTCATTTTCAGCGCTTAACATTTACCAGTCGAGGTTCTGTTTCTTTAAATTTCCCCTCATTTTCATGCATTTGCCCATAACATACAGTGCGAGTTAACAAGAAAGTGACCAATTTAGAAATATTTGTAAAAATAATAATAGCTGTGAAAATAGCACATATTTTGAAAACTCTTTTCACAAGTCATGTCACTTTTAGTAGAAATACCATAAAATTCAACTGTCCACCATGGACTATTTATCAGTACAAATTAAATGCCTGTGTGCGATCTCTGGTGGTCACTCAGCTAGATAGCTGCAAAGCATTTTAAGTTCCATTGGCGACTGTAAAAAATGGGTTCTTTTAGTAACATACATGCATAAATTCTGATAGCAAAGACCAATTTCAGTAATTCTTTTTTTTTTCTTCAGATGAGTGAAAGAACAAGTTTAAAAATGTGATCCGTTGGTGTGTCAATTTTAATTGCTTTTTATGGGGAAAATATAATAAATCCCGATCACTTTCTTTTTGACTTGCACTGTACGAAGGTTAGCCAAACATGCCACTGTGTAAGTTGCCACTGTTGCGGATGCAGAGCAGTACACACAGCTTAACATTTGCTTTACATTTAAGCAATTCAAAACCGAGAAACTGGTTGAAGCGATGATCAACAAGATGTTTTGGCTGGTAACTACAGCAACATAAACTCTCCCCAATTGCTGCATTGCAAGTATTACAGACATCAAAATTTACACATTTCCAATGCAGTGATAGAGGCGTACCCATTTTCATTTAAATTTGAGACATAAATGGTATATCCTTTGAAGGGAAGGGAAAGTGGATTGGGATAGGTGAATAAGGGTCCCGCCCCTCTTCTGAATTTTTATAGCTCCGCCCCTTGTGAAGGTACTGGTGTTCGTCGGCTGTGTTAATGTGTGAAATGGTGCAAATGTACACTGGATCACAAACGGAAATGGAAATGAAAACTGAAGGAACGTAATCAACTGAAATCCGATGATGTTAAATGAACGATTACATTTCCACCAAGTGACAACCAATAAAGTGACAAGAAAAGAAGTGTTAGGTGCCATTTACCACCACATAACAAAAATTAAAAAGAGAAAAGAAAGAAAGGGAAAAACCCACCAAAACCCCTGAAATTTGTGGTTGCTCTGCGGAGCTGCTAAAAAAGGTAACATTGAAACGACTGGTTCATACTTGAACGCAAATGAACGCAAATGTGTGATGTTACAACAAGTATTCGCGCTGCTAATTCGCAAAAGTTGAACACATTATTCAAACTCATTAAATTTTGTGAGATATCTTTTGCGATGTCGAGTATTGAAGAATGAGCCGGCCTTTAAGCAATTACCTTTTTGTTTTGCAGCTCCGCGAAATTATATCTGGTTATTATAGGAAACCTGTTCTTAGTTTTGTTAAATCTAGTTAGGTCCGGTTAAGTGTTGATTGTGTGAAACTTTGGTCCAACCGCCGCATTATTTGAAAAAAAGTTAAGGGAAAAATAGGAAAGACAGCTCCCAAAATTCACTGAAGGATTAATTTTTGTGTCAGTAGTTTTAGGTAGAAAACGTTGATTGATTTTGTTTTGAACTTGTAATTAATTCACAATCCTACGTATAAAAACTATTTTTTTATAACAGTTATCCATGCAGAATCACTACTGGCTTAACTTTCCGAGATATATGCTTCATAAATAGGTATAAAATCTAGCAAATTTTGCTCAATATAAACGTACTTGGTTTTTTCTTTCTTTATTTATTTATTTATTATTATTTTTTTTTACAGTTGCTCGTGAAAAAATACTAATGAGTAAATTGTGTCTTGAAAATCCTTAAAATCACTGTTAGAGTAACATTTACGCTTTAAAGTATTCCTGGTTAATATGGGCCTATAAATACAAACACTTATTCAAGAAAGACTGCAATTTGTCTGCTTTTAAAACCAACACTAAACACCGATTACATTTTACAAAAGATCAATTCTTATCAAAAACATTCAAGAAAGACTTTTCAAAATATGTGTTTACCGATCCGGCTACACTACTCGCCGTTGAAACAGAATTCGATGTACCTACTCTCAGCAGGTCAAATACCTCAGTTGGACTTTGAAATTTAGATCATTTTACTAATGTGTGGATTTATTTTGTACTACACAATAAACGTATATCATCTATGTTACAAAAATAGTCGTACTCAAGTCTGCTATGTAACAACCACACAAGATTGCCCTGCTCAAAAACTGTATATACTTGCAAACTATACAAATCCACAAAACGTTGCTCTTTCAATTCCTTTCGACTGTGGCAAGTTGAAAAGAACATTTTCTCCTTCAAAGCGATACGTTTTTGGACTAAAATAAAGAAATCTTTGAAAAACATTGCAAAGAAGCCTCTCTTTAAATATCAAACCCTGCTACAAAAAAGACTCTCTCCACTTTAAAACGTCAACATTATCTGCACATTCAGATTCTTCCAAAAATAGATTATGTACAAATCTGCACCGAATAAAAAAAAATCAACGGCCAAAAACAAATTCTACATTTAAGATATATACTTTATTTACATGCCTGCAAACTTTTTGTAATTATTTCAATGATGATTTTGCAGCTTTTTTTGGCGAAAGAGCTGTGATCATGCTGATTTTGATTTTTAAAATAATCGTTTAATTGCTGAAAGTTGAAAACAAGACAACATAATAAATATAAAACTTTGTGTGAAACGTTGCGAACTTAAAATTTTTCCTCAATGTAAAGAACAGAACTGCAATATCCGGGTAAGCAAAAATAGTTCAGTTTCTTTTCCAAAGAAAAGCTTAAAAACTAAGGGGGGGGGGGGCAATTTGGTTGTAATTTGGCCATCATGTTGTTCTTTGGGGAGGGGAAGGTGGTTGTTGCCTCTCACCACTTGTCAAATGGGTTGTGCCGTCCCTCCTTGGGGGTGGGGGTGGTTTGGCACCCTTATTAGACCCACTTCGTTTGATTTGAGACCCTGCCACAGACGCTCGTTTGAGCTGGGCTGTCGGGGAAGGGGGCAGCACAAAAATAGCCCCTTGGGAGGCAGGGGAGGAGGGTGGGGAGTTCCGGACTCTGGGGGGAGGGGGGCCATCCCCTGGGTGGTGGTGGTGGTGGTGGTGGTTGGATTTGGGTGGGGTCCCTGGGGAGGTAGGTGGGTACTGCACCCTGTTTGGGAGTGGGGATCCCTGCTTACAATAGGGCTGCATCCTAGGGGGCCCACTGAACGTGGTCATGCTGTCTTTTGGTGAATTGGGGGATACCCTGGGAGAGGAGGGGGCACCCTGCCTGGGGATATTTTGCTGCATGGCTGCTTCTTGCTTTAGCGGCTTTGGCCTGGGCGATGGGGGGAGGCGTGGGGAGACGGGGGGTTTCCCCGAGGGTACCCCGGGTTTTGGCTTGACGAGGGCGCTGTTGAGTTCTGCAAGGAAAGAGGTATTGGCTTGCCTTGGTGGTCCTGGCTGGGCTGCTTGCTGCGGGTGACCGTAACCGTTACTCTGGGCTGAGGGCGTAGCTGGCAGCACCCGGGGTTGTCTTGAGGTTGCGGTGATCCCTCCGCTCGCCGTCTGATAAGATGTGTTGATGTTAGAAATGTTAGGTGGTGAGAATGTTGAATGGGGGAGTGGAGGTGAGTAGTTGGAGGGGGCGAAGGAGCAGGAGCGAGGGGGTTGGTGAGGGTGGGAGGTGTTGGTGGTGTGAAACGAGGAGGAAACTGAGACTTGATGAGGTTGGGAGGTAAAGGTTTTAGGGAGGGGCTGAGGTGGTGGGGCAGGACTTTGAGGCGATGTATTGAGGATGGGCTTCAGGGGCGAATTTGGGGGCGACGCAATGGGTTCCTTTTCAGCGGCGCGGCCTCGAACTGGGATTTTCTCCTCCAGCACCTCCTTAAATTGAACCCTCTTGCTCTCGCTCCGCCCCAGGTTAGTTTCCCTCGGCCGTGAGCTAATGATGGAGGAAGTCTGTTTGGTAGTGCTGCCCTCAGAGCCCAGCGAGGTTTGGTTAGTGGAAGCAGAAGATGACAGGCAAGAGGATGAAGCGAAAGAAGAAGTAGAATTAGGTTTGGGAGCCACAGGAGGAGGGCAGCTCCTGGGCTCGCATCGCGAGATGCTTTTCAGAGATGATGTTGACGATGACGACGATGATGAAGATGATGGTGATGGGGTTAAGGGTGAGTTGGGGCTGACTTTGACAGTCACCGCGTCGGAATTGCGGGCCGTCACCTGGACGTGGACCTGCCCTGCGTTGGAGTTGTTCAGGTTTGGCTTGGCAGCGATGGTGGGGCCTGGGGGTTTGTATAACATCTGGGGCGCATGTACCTGCTGCTGCTGCTGCTGCTGTTGTTGGGAAGCCTCGTTGTCGTGGGCCAGGTTCATTTCCAGCTCCAGCAGGGTTTGTTCTACGTCATGGTCGTCGTTGTCATTGGAGTGAGTTGATTGGGGCTGGGAGACCAGTGGTGCCTTGAACTGAAACGTTCCCTGATGGCATAAAAAAAGACCCAATCAACTATAAAATTACTCTTACACTTTTTTGTAGGCGGATTACTTAAAACACATTTTACACAAGAAATGATCTTTCATAAAGTGGTCTTCGTTCTGTCACTCCTATTATTTGACACAGGTTTTAAGACCTAGTACAAAAATAGTTGCCTCAACTTAAAGAATGAAGAAGAGAACAAAAAAGTAGGAAATGCAACGTAGTTTTAACCTTACCGTTAAGATGATTGTAAATAGAGAAATGTACTGACCTCATCTGGGATCCTGTCTCCTGGCACTGGTGACCTCCCACAATAGCGATCCTACAAAAAAACAAAACATGCCAACATAAATTTGTGAATAAGCTGTCAGCTACTTAATACCCTCTGAATGTTTTACTCTCTAGAAGTGTGCAAAGACAACTAAAGCTGCCCTTGGGTCCAACTTGCGACGAAACAGAACAGTCGGCGACTGACTTTCAGGATCAAGCTGCACCTGAGCATCGATCGGGAACCTTTCAGTCAGCGATTTTTTTTTGCAACCTGAGTGTAAACGTGATGATATTAAGACGATTGAATTCAGTTAGCGCACACAAAAAAATCAACAGTCACAGGAGTAGACAATTTTAAAATTCTGCACTGCGACGGGACGTGTTCCTGAAAGGCGAACACCTTTATTTTATTGTAAATCGCATAATCATGTGCTTTCTCAGTTTAGTGACCTAAGCAAGACTTTTTGACCTGATGCCGATGGTTCCTTTGCGGCGTAAGCAAATTGCAGGTTTTACCTGAGGCCGGCGTCAACTGGCCCAAACTAGGAATTACTAGCGACCAATGCATCTGTATAAATCTACATATAATGTAAATAGCTGCACTACATATGTAGATAACTTTCAATTCAATTCAATTCAATTCAATTTATTTATTCGTCATGTGAGACACATGAAATTTGTTTTCCTATTGTACAGCAGTAAAATATTTAAAAATACACTCATTACAAAAAGGTGATACTAAGAACCAACAATAGAAATTGCACAGTAAGAAAACAAAACAAATACAAAATATCAAATGAAAAACAGCCTATGGACAACATGTTGAAACCCCCCCCCCCCCCCCATCTAAAACCTTGGCGAAATGGAAGAAACACAATCCAGATGACATACAGGGCACACCAAACAACAAACAATTTGTTATTAAATCAAAAGTTTAAACGGATAAAATTTTAGCCTTTATGTACTGAATTAACGTTTGTGGATTTTTTTCCCCTTACCAGGTTTGGTGAGTCGACTTTGCTCTCCTTCTCTTTGCCTTTCTTCCAGGCGCTGGCAAACATGTTACCCATGCTGCTCTGACGGCTCGGCTGGTTGCTCATCTGCATTGGGGGGACGCTCAGGGTGCTTCCACTTGGACTTACACCTGTCCAAAAGAAATTCCACAAGTAAGCGAAAGAACACTTGTTTGGAGACTAGCCCATAGCTCATTGCTACACCAATGTCCTCTCCTCCAAAATATTCTTATCCTAGATCCTAATAAAGGGGACAACCTGTATTCACAGAAACAACTTGCCCGTCTCTCTTTCGAAGCGATTGGGCCAGACTCAATCTAATGCTGCTACTGTGGGGGGATCGCCACACCTCCTCCACAGCGAGTCTGTAACCTTCCCAGCATTGAATAATGCCGGTACCCATTTAACACCTGGTTGAGAGGAGTAATTGAGGTAAAGCGCCTTACTCAAGGGCACAACACGCATGGCCACGGCGGGGCTCGAACCCATAACCTCACGATCATGAATCCTGTGCCCACCACTAGACCACATGTGACCACTGATTATGCAAAATGCTTCAAGACTTTCAAGGAAGCAGGAAGATTTAAGGTGTAACCCTCACCCAGTGAGCTCTGCGTGCTGTGTGAACTGGCGCTGGAGTGCATACTGGAGATGGAGGAGCTATCCCCTAAGCTGCTTGTCGACATGCTCTCCACGCTGGACGAGTAGTCCACCATCTCGCGCTGAGTCTCCGTGTAGTTGTTCAGCATCACTCGTCCGTACTGCAAGAGTATGCAAAAAGATACAATTGGATTTAATATCGGCGGCTAAGTACAGAAAATATATACTTAGCAGAAACAGGTTACCGGCCAAAATTTAATGTGGTGTAAATTGCTTGGACTGGTTCTCAGCTTGGCCTAACTTCATGGCTCTGGTAACCACAGAATCACGCACTTATGCTCACCAGTCAGTACTAACAGCACTTAGCAGAAAAATTCGGTGCTTACCCAGTAAGCACAGACTCCTTAGTTAAGAGATGTACGCATGCGCATACTCCATATTTTCTCGCTAACTGTAAGCAGGAAATTTTCTACTGCAATAAGCAGGGATTTTTCGCTAGAGGTAAGCAGAGCCATGTTACTGGGTCCTGATTCTTTGCAAAATTATCAGGGATGAGAGTGACCACTGATAAAAATAGCTGAAAACAGCTGGAAAAAGGTGTAAAAAAGCTGAACTTTGGAAATCTCCTATATACTCTTGTACACAGCAAGTGAGAGAAAAAAGCTGAAACCCAAAACAAGAATAGCTGAAATCAGCTTTAAAGCTGAGATTTCACACCCCTGCACTATTGGGCAAAAGCAAATTGCTAAGTAAATTTGCTGAAGAGAAGTAAATTTGCTACCCCGTAAGTAAACTGATCTAGGATCTGTGTGGTTTGGTGTGGTTTCTTACCTTGGCTATTCTGATTCCAGCCATCCACCTCTGACAGGTGCGGTAGTCCTCGGCCGACAGGTACTTGATGTACTTGGACTTCTGCTGAATCTGGGGGTGCTACACAGAGCAACGACAATACCAATCTTACATTGTGCCATAAAATGTCTGCCTGTACTCAGATCTCAACAAAAGAAGGTTACAAACTTTAATTTAAATGATAACTGTCAGAACCATACTGACCTAAAATTGGCGTTTACATCAATGCTTCTTTTCAGAGGCACCTGTTTTTTTAACCAGTTCACGTCGGATGACGTGTATACACGCGAAGGTTTTGCGGTATTCGGAACGAATGACGGATAAACACGCAACGAGCGAGGCCAGAAATATCTGTCTGCGACTCACTCACAGCGAGCGAGGCCGGAAATATCAGGGTGTGCTACCCGCAGATGACGGCCTGAAACCGTCTGGCATCGAGGCTGGTGGAAACAATCCCGCACCTGGGTCCGGTCAATGTCAAAATAATCCCAGCGTGAACTGATTAAGAGAAAGTCACTTCACATGGTGTACCAGCAATTTTCTCCGAACATGAATTAAATGTATTGACTGTAGAAGTCCTGTTTGAATGATTTTGAGCAGATCTGCGACCCATGTGTGTTGTGTTTTATACACGTGTGTTTTACCTTGAGTGCAAAGCAATGGTCAGACGGTGCCTTGTACTTTTTCTTCCATCCTACTCCGTTGTAGACGTTGACATGCTCAAACTGCACCAAGCATACCAGGTCCTTAGATGACTGTTAAAAAAAAAATCACCAAAAAACATACCAATAAATTAAAGATACATGTAATGAAGTCAAATATATTTGTCCCATTGTTTTATTAGATTATTATTTTTTTCATGGTTTTAAGACTTTTATTGAGAGTTCTTCCCATCCTGAATTCATCCGTTGTCCGAATTTAGTCCCTTTTTCCAAATGAGTTTGTCCTTATATGAAATGACTTCTCAGAATATCTGACCCAATTTCTGAGAGGAGTATTAACTGAGACAAAGTAATTCTTTCTCTGTTCTGAGGTAAAATCTTAAAGCTTTAGTTGACGAATAAATGCATTAAAACAGGATTTTCTTCTCAGAACTGCCTTTAAAAGGTTATGTAATAACCACAAATACTCCAGATTATCTTTTCTTGATTTTCTTAATGACTGTCCCAAACTGAAACTAAGAGTTCATAAACAGACCTTTGATTTCCCTTTAGGAGTGTAGTACAACCCTGACGCTCTCAAGACAAAGAAGAATTTCTTCCAGGACTTCTTGCCTTCCGCCTTCAGGTACAGCGGGCCTTCGATCTCCGGGACGCCCTGCCTTCCCTCCGAGAAGAACTCGTCGATCAGGGTCTGCTTGGACTTCTCGGCAAACTCCGTGGCCACTTGGGAGGTGTGGGATGAGAGGAGAAAATTCTGGGGCGGGATAAGAAACCAAAATTAGGAATGGAATCACAGAGGTAGTACAGAACGTCAACTGATTTGCTGGGTCTGAAAGGCAGTATATTTTCTTTCGAAGATTCCAGGCAGTGACATGAATTTATGTACCTGTGGGTTTCTGAAGATGGCGTATTTCTCCCTCCGTTCGGTGAACAGCAGCCTGCTGGTGGTGTCTCGCTTCCAATGCAGCAAGACGTCGGTCACAAGATGCTCTTGATCCTCGAGGACTCGCTCTGAGGAAGGGAAACAATCAAAGGTGAAAAATAATTACTCTCACTCAAGTTAGCCTCTAAATACAGGCATGCAACTGGGAATTAAAAAAAAAGGGGAAATTCAGAAATACACAAAACTTTGTACATTGTTTTTTTCAATTTGTAATGGCATTCATGAGAAGTAAGAAACAAGGAAATCAGTGGATCTGAGGAAAAGTTGCATGCCTGTATATAATGTCAAGAGAGAGGAGAATATGCGCTTATGCAGTTTAATGAGGAACCTTTGGCAAGCATGAACACTAGATTAAACTTGCCTTCAGAAAAATAATATGCTTGTGATGCAGTAAGTAATCGCATTACAATCCCGTTGCCATAGCATCCCATAGTTTTCCTGCACATTCTGGTTGATAACTTAAGTGTGTATTGACATCAACGCGCTAACCAACCCATGAACCAGAACAAAGTCATATGGCATCACACTGAGGTAGTCTACACCCATGCCCTAAGTCATATAAGAGATACAGAGTACATACACCCCCATTATCTCTTAACTCCAACCCTTCCCTACCCTAATTTCCATCTATGAATTAATATGTCTGTTCGTCTTTTCTCAAAACATTGTCACTGTTTTTTTCTTGTGAATCAGTTGATCAGGCGTACCCATGTACAGTTCTGGTATCTGCTCCACCAGGGCCCAGTCAGCCTTCTCCTCAAAGTGGTTCTTCTCGACCAGCGTGTGGACGATCTGCCGACATGACATGGTCTCGTCCGCAAACAGCGTCTTGGAGCTTCCGTCTTCACTGTAGACCCTGACGATCAACTGCAAGATGTTTACAAGAAAAGAGAGAAGAGCATAAGTAAGATTTGAGGCTTTGCATGGTGGAGATACTAAATAATGAAAGGTTTGCGGAAACACCATGTGCGAATAATTTCTCAACTAAGAGAATGGTTCTGAAAAGAACCAGAGGTATAAACTCCTGGTTCTTTTCAGAACCATTCTCTTAGTTGAGAAATTATTCGCACATGGTGTTTCCGCAAACCTTTCATTATTTAGAGAAGAGCATCTTGAGGGATTGCCAAAATGGATGTGTGTGTAAAGAAACCAGTAGTAAACTTTACTTCTGATAGGTTCTGATCGTCGGACATCAAAGGTAAGCATCTGGGTTCCCTGTGATCGGCCATCATTGCAGTAGGCAAGCGTTTGGTTAGCAATCACGTCATGCATTAACTAGACAGTAGCGCTTTATTTTCACATAAAATTAACTGTGAATTCTTTATCAAATGGCATATAATGGTCACTATCTGTGCCGTGTACGGTTGTCATAAGTATGTCGATCCAGCACTGGGTGTTGGTTTCGTGATTTGTTCCCAGCTTTTGCCAACCATCACAGCTTTGAAGGCTTGTCTACTACCTACTGTGCGTGGCGCGATATGGTCTTTGCCTACCACAATGGTGCGGCTGACTTTCCGATACTCGGATATGGGCTCCATGCGCCAACAAAAGAGGGCGCCCTTTTACCTAGCAATGACGTCCCATGGGTGGGACATTTAGCTGGTTGACGCGCACCGTTCCTTGTGTGTGACGCACGTACACCAGGGAATTTGTACTATGTACAAGCAGTGGTACCGCCGTGTGTCGCGGCAAAATTGCAGTCAGGCAAGATGGCGACGGTCGGTCACCCCCAACTGTACTTTGTTTGTCGGTGAGGGCGTACTTGTGAACGGAGCGGATAGGCCAGGTCAAGTGGGTTAGTGAGAGAGAACTGTATGATGATCTTTACTCACTTTCTGCACCCTGGCTTTCTTGAGTTTCTCCAGGGCAATCTTGATCTTCTCTGCCTTGAGCTTGGCTGCTTTCTCCTCCCCGGTCAGGGTGGTGTCGCTGGCCAGCTGGGCCTCAAAGTCCTGCAGCTTGACCCTCACACTCATCGAATACTGCGCACATGATACAAATCAGTAGGGGTGCATTAATAATCTGACTTTAATCGATCGTAAGTAAAGTCTGTCACGAGCCAATGTGGCCCATCAGGCCGACATTCTTCCCTGGTTTCAGTAGCATGAAACAACAGAGAATATCTATTCTCCCTGGACGGGATCCTAATTCATAGCAGGTTACTACCAAGCTAATGCCAGTACCCATTTATACTCCTGGGTGGAGAGAGGCAAGTGGGGTGAAGTGGCTTGCCCAAGGACACAACATATGACCAGCGGCTGGATTCCAACCACTAACCCTCTGATCATGAGTCACGAACCGTAACCACTGTGCCACACTCCCCCTTTTAATTGATCAATGTACGATGTAATACATAGATTCCCCCGAAGTAAGCGTGTAATTTACTGTGCTTACTGCTTACAGTCTCCATGAAATAGATGGAGGCTCGGTAAGCAGAAAATCGTGTGCTTAGCAGCACCTTGAAACTGGGGCCATGGTGACAAGACACTGCTCAGTCCAACAGGGGTATTAAAGAATGGGGGAAAACGAATAATCCACAAAATATTCGGCAGAGAGTTTGAGGGTGATGGATGGCCCCAGAGCAACGTATGGGATATATGGCATATATGTTTGTACTTGCCTAAAGGCTTCCCTTAAAATACCCATTTCTTTTGTTCAACGTACATTTTAATAGGTAAAAACGCCTTTATGCAATGCTGAGGAATTCCAGATTTCAAATGGGATTCTTCAAAAATCCTGACATCAGGGAAAATCCTGAAAAATGTCACCCCTGGGCATGTGTTTAATGTGTGACTGACTGTTGATTAACTTGTGAGAACTTGAGGGAGAACTCGGCAGTATACTTACAGGTGTCTGCCCAGGGCTCATGGGTGTTCGAGGGCTCAGTGAGTTTGGAGTCGCCACCTTTCCTGGGGTCAGACCTCCTCCTGTCTCTATCGTCAAGGATGCCGGAACCTTCTTCTGTGTTGAAGGGGGCGCTGTGATGACCGATGGTGGGGGCGGTATGCCAAAGACTGTGGGTCGAGTGTCTGGGGCCGATTCCGCAGGGGGTGGGGGTGGGGGAGGAGGTAAGGATATTTTGTTATCAGGGATACCGGCCGGGGGTGGGGGAGGCAGGGGCATTTGGCTATCGACGTTGTCAGTCTCTACAGGAGGTGGAGAAGGCAGAGAATCATCATCCACATCGGTCTTCATGGGAACACCAGCGGGCGTGACCACAGGGGGCGTGGCCGGGACCGTATGGATGACGGGCGGGGCCTGGGTGACGGAGGCTGCGTTGGTGTCGCCGGTGATGTTGTAGCTGGGGAATTGTGGGATGGCGTTGGAGTTGGATTTGGCGTCGCAGTCTTGCATCTGGGCGTTGAGGCTCTGCTCCATCTGGCACAGGTCGCCCAGGAGGGCGTCCAGGTCCACATCTGGTGAGTCTTAAAATCAGCAAAAATTGAAAACAATCATGAAATCCTCAAACTTTACAACATGCAGTAAGGAGATTTGAGAAGCTCCCTTATTATTGCCAATAATATCATCAAGGTTAGGGGTAACCTAATCTACAGTTGGCAGACTGTACACTTGTAACTCTACCCTGAGTAATAATTCAATGCATGGATGGAATGGGCATGCAGGGCTATTAGTTGGAGCAGGTCATACTGTATGAGCATGATAATAACCATACACTGTGTATACACTGTATATACATTGTGTATACATTGTGTATACATTGTGTCTGGGTAATTACCAAAAATTTTACCATTCAGAATCATTGAGTATTAGGCCAAAAAAAAAATAAGTCAGTCTCTGGTCAGCGCGTGCGTCGATTTTAATCATGCGTGTCAATCTTTTTTTTTTTCAAAATGTTCCGTGGTAGTTCCGTGGTAGCCGCACCTCCTCAATTTTTTTTTACCAAAGAGCACCAAGGAATGGGAAATTGCACCAAGGCAAATGATCGAGAGCACCAAGGCAAATTATGGAGGACACCAATGTACATGAGGACACCAAAAAAAACAAAATAGTACCCACCTTGTCTGTACAATCCAAGCTTGAAAAAAAAAAAAAAAAAAGCAAAAAAAAAAAAAAAAAGCCGCATCGCCGCATCAATTCCGAAACTTTGGTCTGACCAGAGACCGAAATTTTTGTTTTTTGGCCTTAACAACACATATTTTTAAACTACGGTAAGAATCAAAAGCACATGACACATACATACGTGCAAAATGAATCACAACATTTGGCTTTTCAATACATCTAACATACACAATAAGTTCAAGTACAAGGGTGCAACTTCATAAGAGCAAAGGAATGTATTAATAAAAAACCTGGCATTGTGTAACCGACAAGATTTACACTTTCATATTTTTCCCTGTGTGCCCTGCTAAACCAAACAGAATCAAATCCTACTGAATCTAATAACATTCAACAGAAACTAGTATCACAAAGGCAATGGTGTGACTATCAATATCAATTCTACAAAAATTACCCAATTGGAATTTCAGACCAGGTGAGATGGGGGGGGGGGGAAGAGGGGTGTGAAAAATCCACGAAATAATCAGCCAAGAGTTTGATGGTCATTGAGGGCCCAAGAGCAACGTAGGGTTTATGATACGTACATGTATTTGTATTTGCATCAAGGTAGCCCTTAAAATACCACTTTCTTTTATTCTATATAAAACCTCAGGAACTCCAGATTTCAAAAGAGATTTTTTTTTAAAATCCTGAAATCAGAAAAAAAAACTGACAAAAAAACCTGAAATTTGGAAAAAATTCTTGACAAATCTCATCCATGATAGGACTAACAAAAATAAAAGTAACACTTTTTAACACATAAAAAATTGGTACACTAATTAATATACAGTACCTCATAAACTAAAAAGAAAAAATGTGCCACAAACAATCACTTACTGGGTATATTGACACAAATCACATGCAAGACTTTGACATACTTGGAACTTTTGTAATTTTTCGCTTTTTTTCCTGTTGTTTTTAACGGCTCTGAATCCTGTTTTGCAAACATCTGTCAATTTTCATTACGAATAAATTGGTTTTTCTTCTTCCTGGTCCGAATACTTATTTTCAGTGAGTGTGAAAACAAGACTGCAACAAAATAAATTAATATCGAAGTCTCAAGTATAAAAATTTCGCTATTTTCTATTACCCAAATCAAACTGCCTGATCGATCGGAAAACCCGAACATGAATCCTTCCGTGGGCTTAACAAGGCTTCTGTTTTTAGTTGGCAGTGACAGATTCACAATCAATCACCTTCAAACCACAGGAAATTGCATTTGGCTTGCTAACTAACAGTTCCTCCTAGTATGGGAAAAAAACTGTGTATTTTGTCATTTAAACGCTGAATTAACCCCTTCCTTTTCGGCTTAACTGTGATACGGACCATGTGTCTGACATGCGCCAAAGTATGTGTCAACGATTGCAAAACGCGGACCTTTTGTGTCGTAACAATGGGGTGATTTTTCGCAAGGTGGCTTAGAAATGAGTTCCTGCTTTCAATTTTGCAAAGGCATTTTTGGGAGTTCTAACCAATTATTTTTGGTATCATAATAATCTGGCATGCGACTGGAAACTTGAGAAATAAAAAAAAAAAAAGAGAGAGAAAACAAAGAAGGAAATTCCAAGATTTTATACAGTGTTTTTCAATTTTGTGAAGTGAAAATGAGGAAATCAGCTGATCCCAGGATACGAATGCCATATAACAAGTTGAACCACAAAGGAAAAACTGACTAGGTGTTATATAATATTTGTGTAAGTTGATCAAAGAAATTAACAGGAGCGGGGTTTGAACCTGTGACCGCCGGATTGCCGTTCCGGCGCTCTACCAACTGAACTACCCAGCCCTTTGCGGTTCCCTTGATGTCTTTGTTAAAACATTTATATTGTTGCAGCTAATGTGGTTTCTGCCAATGTAAGTTTTCTTTTTCATCGCTCTTAGAACTTCGCTGCTTAGAATCTATGAGAAAACTGGTTTAAGGACCTTTTTTTGGGGGGGGGGGGATTTTTACCCCTCCTTCAAGAACCTCCAAAGTTCCAAAAAACTTCTGTTTAAACTGAAAAAAATCTGCCTGTGACATATGCAGATCTGGTGAAGATGAAATCAATATCCTTGACTATCAAGGGTATCGACTCATATTGTCAGTTTACTTTAATTGCAACAAGCCAACACAAAGAGGAACAAGCTTGCTAAAAAAATAAAATGTTTTAAAGTGCCACATCCTCTTTGAAATGTTATCTGTGCTCTGTCTTGGATGAGAATAACGAGGAATTGGGCAGATTGTCAACTCAATAAAACCAGGAATTATTTTCACAAAAGGATAAACTATTAAGTTTGAATTGTGTAAATGTTCCAGAGGAAATGTGACTGTTATATAAATGTTTATATATTTTTTTAATACAATTCAGTCACGTTGCTTTGTTCACATACATTTTTAAAAAACTTTTTCCCTATCCTAAAGTTTCACTCTCAATAAGTAAACAGGAAACAACCAGTACATACTGGTACATTTACAACATGAGTTTTTAACTCAAACCATTCAACTGTTTATGATTCATTTGGGAGGGCGCAGCCAGATATTCCCTTCTTAGAAATGGCCAGAAATGAATCAGGCTGTGCATTGGAACCGGATAGCCGTATTAACCAACTTTAAAAATTACTCAGTAAATTCCCAAACAATGAAAAAGAAAGGTTTTGAATGTCATTTGTGGGGAATTTTCAAACTGAAAATCAGGCTATGTGGAAAAACAAAACAGACGTCACATTTATGACGCTCAGGAAAGTTGCAGTTTTCACCCTTAAGCTTACACATGAATTGCTGCATTGCTGTGGAAGTCTTATTGCGCAGACCTTTATGAACAATCTGAACAGAAAGTGCCGAGATTTGAATTTTTGGGTTGGGTTTCTTTGGCCAAAAAAAATAAGTCTCTGGTATGCGCGCGCGTCGCCGTAGCCATGTGCGTCGGCAAAATGAAAAAGTTTTTTTTTTCAATAAAAGATGATGTCTCAAAACTGCCAAACTCACTGGTTTGACTGGAATCCTGCTGCTGCACAATTTTAACGTGTTTTTAGATGGGGTTATGATCGAGAATAAGCTTTATGTAGCCTCTCTGGACTCCCATATATTTTCACTAAGTTTAGTCAGGCACCAATTGCAGTCCTCAGCCGACATTTGAAGCACAAAACACAGGGGGAAAAAAAAAAAGCCGCGTCGCCGCACCACTTTTTGGGCAAGCTCCATACCAGAAACCGGAGACTTTTTTGGGGGGGCCTTTAACGGGTTACCGGATATCCATGTTGTTTTTACAATCGGTAACCCGGTTCCCACACTACCCGTAAAAACACACCCCTACAAATGAAGATGACACATACCGTAGATCTAACATTATGCACACTGATTCAAATTTTGCTATGAAACTTGCGACATACAGCTGTGTTAAATTCAACATGCACTTGTAGCACTTGAAGCAAGCTATGTGTAAACATGTGTGCAAAAAGACCAACACAATTTATCAAATATTAATTTTTATGGATCTAATCCACTTAATTACTCTACCCATTCATGGTGGATAGAAGTGTCATATTCCTATCTTTCCTTAGTGTATTTACATGCAGTCCTAGACAAAGATTTAAGAATGCAATGAGATTTAATTTTCTGGGGAAATGACTCCCTCAGAATGCAAAAGGCTCAATGCAAATCCTTTGAACTTTGAAAAAAACTTTGATCCAATTTCCCAATTTACTTCGGAAAATCGTTTTAAGAAACGAAAATCTCATCACGGGGGCATTTTTCAGTCTTCCGACGACGGTAACAGGATGTTCTTTCTGAGAGATAAGTAAATCACGATCCATCTCCGACCAATCGTATTGTCCGTCTGCGGTCATGTGTCTACGGCTAAACCATTTATTTTGCTGCCTAAAGCACTTCAGACAAATATGCAACCGCCGAGGGGCGGGCTTGAGGAGCGGGCTCGATCAACGGTCTCTCAAGAGGGATCAAATACCACTAGTCTGCAAAAAAAATACCAAACATGTGAAAATATGCCGCAGGTTTGGTGCGCCAATTGTGCAATAAATTATCCAACTCAATTGGGACTCGTGAAGCGATCGGTGATTATTATGGCACAAAGAGGCACCCCTTCGTTTCAGACAGGGCCATATTTTATGCATATTTGTAATCGTGCCCATGCATACAGGTACACTTCTCAGTGCAATTTCATATTTGGGCCCCAAATGCCGTACACAACAAAATAACTGAACAGCACACACATTCCAGCAAACACAGAAAATACAATTTATAAGTCACACAGTAATGACAGCCTTTGATTCTGGTTCATAAAATGCTGAATGCAATATTTTTTTTTCAACTTTTCGTTTCAAGATTCATGTACATCGGGCTTGGGTGAATATCAACTAATTTTGTGATTAGCTGATATTTACCCTAGACAGTGAAGAGCTGATATTAGTTGATATTTATCACCCAAGACTGAAGATGATCAGAGCATACCGACCGGAACGTTAAGTTTATACCTCTGGTTCTTTTCAGACCCGTTCTCTTAGTTAGAGAAATAATTCCTGCATGGTGTTTCCTTCACTTTTTAGTATCTCCACCATGCAAAGCCTCAAATCTTACCTAATTTTGTGAGGTATGATAAAAAATGCATGTCTAACCCACAAGTCCCTAGCTGTACCGCCCCAAACCGCCCTGCCTGTTAGTTACTCCCTGTAGTGCCCTAATCCGCCCGAGCAGGGAACAAATTAAACACAGTGTAATACAACGTGGTACAGATGCAAATGGTTTATCTCCTCACAAAGTTTGGCAATGTGCCATCATGCAATAAACCCCAACAACCCATCCGTTCGTCATGAAATTCAACCCCACTAATTCAGCATCAGTCACACATGTTCCTTACTCAACGAGGTCTTTCACACTAGGAAAAATCCAAATCTATCTTCTGTGCACTTTCACAGTTTCCTCAGAAAGTACATGTATACACCGAGATGAAAACTAAAATTTAGACAGGTTAGTTTTTCAATAACCTGCTTTGGATTTATTGTATTGCTGTCGCTTGAATCGGCAATACGCACGGTAATTGCAAAATGTTGTCCTTTACTTTTAACTTCAGCACAGATAGGTGAGACCAGAGTGTGAAAAGGCCTTGCGATTATGCCACGCTCAAAACACCAAACCAAATCACAGGCTGTCTGAACCTTTAAAGGTACAGTCCATCATTTGCAGCTCTCCAAAAAGTAACTGACAAAATTATTGTTGAAAAGCATACTTGGTTTAAAGATAGTAATGGGACTAAACTCCCTGTGAAATTATTGATTCTGACAAGCCATCATTTTGAAGAAAACAATGAAAGAAGGCCATTTCCAAAGACGTGTCTGAAGACATTTCCATTAGTAGTTCGTTTTTTAATTCGGCGAAGCGCGCAAGCATTGACACGGTGCACACACGTGCACGGTTGCTATAATTTGGCAGTTCAGTGCGCGACGTCGCATAGGCCTACCGGTAGCTGCAATCGGCTGAATGAGAACACTGAATTCGGGCGCAATTCAAAACATGACTTGCCAACTATTGATTTGAAATCGAGAGCCGAAAATATCGTTTTTCTCGGAATATACAGTATTCACTGAGCTAAAACTTCGTCAGGTTATTGTTTAAGCACCCTTCTTTAGATTTTTGAGCATTTCTGTTGCTTCAAACGAACATAATGCACAAATTACAAATGATGGACTGTACCTTTGGCCCAAAAAAAAAAAAGTCTCCGGTTTCTGGTATGGAGCTTGCCCAAAAAGTGGTGCGGCGACGCTGCTTTTTTTTTTTTTTTACCTGATTTTTTTTGCTTCAAATGTCGGCCGATGACTGCAAATGGTGCCCGACTAAACTTAGTGGAAATATATGGGAGTCCAGAGAGGCCACATAAAGCTTAGTTCTCGACCATAACCCAATCTAAAAACACGTTAAAATTGTGCAGCAGCAGGATTCCAGTCAAACCAGTGAGTTTGGCGGTTTTGAGACATCATCTTTCATTGAAAAAAAAACTTTTTCATTTTGACGACGCGCATGGCTACGGCGACGCGTGCACATACCAGAAACCAGAGACTTTTTTTTTTTGGCCTTTAACACATGCTTTGCAGACAAGAGGCAGTTATTTTAAGTACCCAAGGGTTGAGATATTTACCTTGTAAGCTTGTGTCATATGAGTTCTTGGCAGCTGAGGGAGAAAAGATGCCAGGGAAGAACAACAAAAACGGAGAGAAAGAGAAATAATGAAGCTTGAAAGAAAACTGCAAAATAAATGATGTGCCAACAAAACCAAGCTCATGATGACAATTACATGTAAGTATGGCAAAGTGAATACAAAACTAAACATGAAGTCACTAGTTTTTTCTAGAATCTTGGCGAAAAGGAAACTGTTCAGTAAATTTTAAATAAACAAAAAGTGGCAACATAAATGTGAAGTTTCAAGAGCTGTCCAAGCCAGTGTATTAATTAAGAAACAGCTCATTATGTACAAGGAAGTAGATTACGAATGGGCAAGTGCCCAAAAAAATAATTGGGTTAATATTTTATTAAAAAATAAGGAAATGAATGAAGTTTTGAATTGCTGTGTTTATAAACATCTACGATAGATTTATGCACAGGCATTGCAAATGTCAGCGTTCCTGTATCTTCAGTTTCCGTTGTGCCACCTTTTCATTTTCAGGGTACTGGTCATAATGTTTATCACAATGAAACATTGGTCTTTTAATAGGTCTCGTTAAAATGACGTCATTTCCTACAGACCATCCACGTGCATCGGCATTTTGAGCGTCAACTTGCATAACGCGCATCGGCTGCGCCGTATTTCGAACACATTTCGAGCAACAAGCGCGCGTGTTTGGAACATTTTCAACACTGCGCAATGCATGCTTGATTGTGTAAAATACGCAGTTGCAGTTCTCCTACAGTGATGGCTGTCATTGAGCGAGCCCTATTAATGTCCTCAAGTTAACGAGACGGGGAAGCAATCATGGTCTGGAGACCGCATCTGTGATGGTCAGTGATAGCTGCCGTCAATGGACAATACATTCTGTTTGACCCGTTAGCCACATCCTTCCATGCTCATTACTGGCCAGTAATGACCCGGCCATTGAAACCAATCAGAGAGTGTTTGCCAGTCTCTTAAAACCACACAAAATAACATCCTATCCAAAAAAAACCGCAACGCATCGTTGGTACTCAGGGATGTGTTCCACTCAAGCAAACGTTGGCAACAGTTTGCAACGTTTTTGTGCATAGCCAATGGGAAATTGTTGGCAATGTTTGCATCAATTGTTTGCGGAAGTACCGGGTAGAATCATAAAATGCACCACACGTTTGAATGAGCATCAGACTAGAGCTTGGATCCTCTAATGAGCAGTTGTTTATGATGAACACTATTAGGGACCGGAGCTGGTCAGGTTATCACCTGGGTTCATAAAACCCAAGGACAAAACCATTTAAAAACTGTGTGAAACAGGTTGATTAAAAAATAAAAGGGAATTTATGACACCAACCATTACATCTGTGTGTTTGTTTGTGATTATTCAGCAACTGGCCAGAATACATGTAGCCCACGAACGTCTTTCAACATTCCAGTAAGGTCCCTTGGTAGAAGACGTGGAGGAAATTACAGTTTTAGTGGTGGGAGGGAAAACCCCAGAATGATATTGTAGGGAAGACTCACAGAATCAGGCAGGGACCCAATCCACAGATTGGCCAGACGGGATTGGAACCTGGGTCACAGTGGTGGAACTGGAAGGCAAGGAAAGCACCGCTACGCCAACCTGATCATGTTGTAGCCTTGTCCTGCCTTGCAAAGGGCCTTTCACAAAATCTCCCCGTTGGAACCAGGTCAAACACCGAGATTTCAGGAGCCCCCTTCGCACAAGCTGATCTAGTAAAATCCAACCTGGGGTTTGACCTTCATTGGGAGGTTTCACCAGGGTGGAAAATCCAAAAAAATGTACACAATGGTTTGAGTTTGACCTGTACGCCTTGCCTACCCGCATTCGATTGGCCCCCGAGTTCCCCTTGCGATGGCCCGTGTGGATTTCAAGATGGGTAGGCCAGATGGTAGAGTGAAAAAGCCTATACATACATGTATTGTGTAAGTGATGGGGCATCTTTCAGTATTTTGGGAGGAGGGAAGCAAGGAATTAGGCCTGTATATTCTGTCTAGACCCTCAGCAATTGGTGTTGATGGGGTCTTCCTTAGTGAGAGGGGTGGGCTGTCTGGGCTTGACATGTGTGACAGGTGGGGAACTGTAAACAAAATCGTTGTCACGATGTTGTGCTGGCTTTGGTTTCATGAAATTCTAGTTTACTTAAAAGAAACCAGCTTATTTTCATATAGGATATCTGGGATAAAAATGAAAGGATGGAATCAAAAAATTAACCCTTTTGAGGATGGAAGTGGTAGTTAATGATGGAAAAAAATACATGCCATAGCACTGAATATCTAAACAAATTTTTAGGGGGGAAAGTATCTGGGGCATTTTCTCAAAATCGTAAGAAAAATGTGGAGAACATTAACTTGCAGATGCAGGAGGAACACCCAAAGCATGTGGAGTACCGGTTCATCAAGATACATGTAATGTTTGCAGAAAAAAGTACAATTTTTGGGTCAAGTGGTAAACTAACACCATGGTAAATGCTCATATGAAACTGGGTATTTTGCCTGCGGCATCGAGTGTGACATACCTGGCACATGTGAATATTTTCCCTGCCAACTTTCTGGTGAGTCATGCTTACCAGAGACTGAGACCGTTCTGAATTTCAACACTCCAGGGTATGAAGCAGTAAATTTCATTCCGCTTTCTTTGGAAAGACGGCGCGATGGTTTGGCATATTTCTTTTTGAGGGATTAGGGCGTTCCAGAAAGAGACGGTACATTTGATTAATCAGGGGTTTACGGCCCGGTGGTATGGGTCTAATTCGGAAGAAATGGCCTGATGATTGGAAAATTGGCAATTCGGGTTATGGGATGTAATTACTTTTTCTCAGGGCAAGGTGGGGGTTTGAGAAGTAGATTAATGGAATATGGCCAAACGATTTCACTTGAATGCTTGTCAATAGGCGGAAAAAAGGCTCGGAGTGGGAATATTTGTTTTTATTTCAAATTTCCTCTTAATCTTTTCAACACTGGCTAAATGTACATTTGTACTATATATGTACACATTTATGATTGTAATCATTTATTTAAATGTGTGTACTAAGAAAGTGAAATAATTTCAAATCCTTGTCATAAACACACAGGTTGGTACTTTTCCAAATGTATCACCAAAAAAGAGAAAATGTTGCACCAATGGATTGTTTCATTCCACTGTAGCCATTGAAGTAATCTTCCTTTTTTTTTGTCAAGCCTTAAAAGATGATTACATTTTTTTTCTGTGCATTAAGTTCAGATTTACATACATTGTAGTACTTTGTATACATGTGTAGATCTCCGTGGTATCTCTGATGAAGAGTAGATGACAAAGCGTATGGTGCTCAATCCGCCATCTGTATGCATACAAATGAACTTGCCACTCAACAGTTTGAGTATGGCATACCAAATCCGAAGATGCTAAAATCCATGCTGAACAAAACCATCTTTTATTCTTTCTTAAAGGCAAAGATAATCCTGAATCTTCGGGACAGCTGGTCTGCAGGTATCTAAATATGCGCGACCCTAGCCCTAATGCAAGTTTATGGCCAGAACTTGATCTCTGCTAATACCGGGGAAATGAAATATTGATGACCATCGTGAGTCACGGCCGGCAATTTACAACTTTGGCAGCGCTGCGACGAAGGTAACGTGTATCCCATGTCTTCTGTTTTGATCTTCAAGAGTCTGGTTGTAAATGGACAGCAGATGTGGTTTCAGTTATGGCTTCCCTCGCATCCCCTTGAACTCTTATGTTTGCTTGGCCTGTTTCAATTACCGAGAAGCTCCGGACGAAATCTTTAAGATGCGCATCAGGCTGGAGGAGAGCAAGTGATGCTGAACTGCTCATCATCTGTGAGGCAACTGTTAAAATACACATCGTCGGATGGATTTTCCAGATGGTTTATCGCGAAGGGGTCATCGCGTCTCTAGTAAATTGAAGGGATTTAGCATTCAAAAATAGACTGCAATTTTGGAGGTCTGTGGATTTATTTATAACTTTTGCTTTCCGGTAGGGACATGTATGCAAAGAGGGAAGAATCTTTACTACGACAGTTTCAACATATCTACACACACACAACAGTAAATGCAGCATGGTTACTGTTCATTTACACAATATACATGTATGTACTGTATGCACATATTTTTGCACCCCCTTAATGTTTTGACTGGAATGAAACCAGACCAGGGCCCAATTTCATAGAGCTGCTTAAGCAGAAAATTTGCTTAAGCACGAAAAAACATTGCTTAGTGAAATTAGGTTACCGGCCAAAACTCCATGTGATGTACATTGCTTGTGACGGGTATTTAGCTGTTGTTTACTTAGCATAACAATCGCATGGAGTTTTGGCCGGTAACCTGATTTTATTAAGCAAGACGTTTTTGTGCTTAAGAAAATTTTTTGCTTAAGCAGCTCTATGAAATTGGCCCCAGGTGTATTTTCCAAATCTTGGCTGTGTCTTGGGCCTCCGATCAAGCTTGGAGGTTAGGCCAGAAATTGGGACTTTTCCACGTACATGTACGTTGTACATGCACACATACATGTATACACTGTAGATGTTTATTCATTTTTGTGGCTTCTATAATCAAATGTAAATGAATTCACCCAAACATTTTGACCAGTACACTTGAAGTAAATCCCACGTCACTTGTATGTAATATGCCTTGCACTATCATCTTCTGAATAAGGATCTTCAAACTAGTGAACACTCTCCTTCAATTTCAAACGGTTCTTGAGATAAACGGCTAATCGCTCTGATTTCACAATCAGGCGCAGCTAGGCCATTGTTCTGCGAGTTTAATCTCCCAACAATTTTGTATTGAATTACCGAAATTGACGTTGACGCTGCCAACGCATGCAAAGTGTCAAAAACAGGATAAGTGCATGAAGGGAGGATCCAGATCTAAACCGCGATATCAAGAGAGATATCAAAAGGAATTTGAAGAGCATCCGATATATGATGCAATCTGACAAGCTAGTGCTATTTAAGGGTATGGAAGTGGCAAAAATAATGTCAACTTTCGTTCTGAAACGGTCTGGTTAAGGTTTCACTGCATTAAATGAAGTAACAAGTTATTTCCCTTTCTGTGCACTGAAGTTATATTTAGGCACTGAAGTTATTTTTACGCACTACACAATTTTGTTTTGTTTTGGAAAACAAAAGGTTAATTTTAGCAGATTGAATAAAACATGCCGATTATACATGCACGTTAGGATGTGACAGAAGAATTTCTACCTTCCAGATTGAGCAGGGAGAATTGGAAGTTGTCCAGGCCGTTTGTTGACGGGGCGATGGGGGCACACGGGGACGTCGGCGTGTCTGGGGCATTGCTGTCCAAATTCTGATGAAGAAAAAAATAAAAGTTAAACATTTATCTGAAATGTTTCAATGTTATCTTTCTGAGAATGCTAATACATAAATAGATTACATCAACAAGCAGGGACGCGAACAAAAAACCCAGAAAAATGCAGCAAAGGCCTGCTAAACCCCTTTTGGCAGCTAAAACCCCTCTTAATCCAAACCTGGCTCCACCCCTGGTTTTCCCTCAATTCTGTAGAAATCTGGGGTCAATTCTTAACAAAATTGCTAAGCACTCTTGAATGCTCGTCGGTTGTAAACAATATTGGAGGAGGGACAGCACAAAGAGGCAAAACGTTTCTGAAATTTGGTGGGGGGGGGGGGGCTAAGTACTAATATGTGTATTTCTAAAGTTGGAGGGGGAGGGGACTGGGGGGGGGGATATGGGTTCCACTCCTTTCTGCTGCCTCAGCAACCTACACGTACCTTGGTCATGATCTCCAACTCCCCCAGCCAGGTCCCCAGCATCTTGTCCAGGTCCTGCTCCTGGTCACTGTCCAGTTCTGCATCCATGTCGCCTGAGTGGTCACTCAAACTGTCCTCCTGGTCACCCCTGGGAATCAGATAAAAAACAAACAAAGAGAAATAAGAAACTTGGCAATATTCTAAAACTCCTTGGCATTTAACCTGCGATTTAGGGGCTAAAATTTTGACATCTTACTTGTAAAGAAAGGTGCAGTGTTTTGTACACGAGACGTGTATACTGGTACATGTATCATGTGGGTATATCATGATTTGAGGAGAAGTAGCAAGAATTGACTGGTCCCTGTGTGATAGACTTGATTTTGGACTACCACCTTCCAATGAACATGCACTACAAAGTCGTCGGTTTGATAGTACATGTATCTTGTATGGTAAACTACCAAGTATCTGCCACAGTGCCTTTGGATATATTGCCCCGACACAACATTCCCTTCAACATCAGCACTGGTACTTCAAACTCCACCACTACATTAAAAAAATCTTAAAACAGGACTAACAATGTTCCATCTTTTCCCACCATGTCCACAGTGCCTCGATCTAGTTTCTAGCACCCATTTATTAAATACACATGTCCATCTTCTTCACACAAAAGCAATTACCAAATTTCATGATAGTGTGAACAATTGATCGACCATGGAACCTGTGATGATTGGCCATATCCTTAAAGGGAATGTACATCATTGGCTTTTGCTGTAATTTTCAGAAATTAACTATTTGAGGGGTTAGTATAATACTTAATAGATCAAATATTGTTACACTGACATGTTTGAAGTTTTGTGTTCGAAAATGCTGGAAAAACCAAGAAAAACAAAAATGTTCAAGTCGTCTAGTTCCCTGACTCCACTAAAAATACAATGGATCAATTTATAGATGCCGGAAAATTGTAAGGTAAGGGAACCAGTCTAGCTGGTCTGCACCCGTTCATGAACATGTAACCAATAGCAAACAAAATTTGGACTGAAAAAAAAAATGATAAATTTGGAGCAGTAGTTGAAAAATAGTTAGGTTTTTCCAACGGTGGTCGGCCGACCACCGTTGGAAATGTATACAAAAATACCATTTTCTTGAAAATGACTTCACACCAGGTGCCATAATTTTACAGGATGCTTTAGACTGTCATTTACCAACATCCTAGTGAGGTATTTCGTAAAAACTTGGTAGTTTTATTTTTCAATGTTTGCAAATGTTGTAAATATTCCCTTTAAGTACCCATACACTGTTGGCAGATACGTGCGCTATAAGACTCTGGTATTATTATTATTGTTAAGAATAGGACATCCACTAAAGATTGATATGAAAATAATATGATCCTTTCTTAATTCTCCAACTCGCAATACATCTACACGTACAAGGCATAGTCTGGACTGAGGGACAGAAATGTACATTACATTGTATACATGTACATGAACAGTATACAGTACCAGTATCAGGTAGACCACATGAGCACATCTTACAAAATTCTTAACCAGTCTGCATTGTCACCATTCAAGGATATACCGAACACTACTACAGTTTGCAAGGATATGCAATTACTCCTTAAAGGGAATATACAACATTTGCAAACATCGAAAAATAAAATTACCAAGTTTTTACGAAATACCTTAATAGGATGTTGGTGAATGACAGTCTAAAGCATCCTGTAAAATTATGGCACCTGGTATACTGTCATTTTCAAGAAAAGTGGTATTTTTGTATCAATTTCCAACGCTGATCGGCCGATCAGCGTTGGAAACAACTGGCTTTTTTTCAAATACTGGCCCCAATTGACCATTGCACTTGTTTGCAATCGATTACAAATCTATGAACGGGTACGAGCCAGCTAGACTGGTTCCCTGACCTTACAATTCCCCAATGTATGTAAACTGCTCTGTTTCTTCTTATATGGAGTCAGGGAACCAGACTACAGGAAAATGATCGTTTTTCTTGGTTTTTATAGCATTTTCGAACCCAAAACCTCCAAAAAGTCAGTATAACTATATTTGCTTTATATTTCCAACCCCCCAATTCCATCCATTTCTGAAAATTACAGCAAAAGCAAATGATGTATATTCCCTTTAATTCCAATGTTCAACTCACTGACACCTTCTGGCCCATATACTTAACACAGCACCTGGACAAGTTTGTTATTTCAACACACACGCTTACTACACGCAGAAACGTGTGTACTTGACTTGCACACCTTGGGAATGACCCAAGCCGCAAGGAATGTGCACTCTTTGGAGAATTAATTAAAATGGATCTTGTCGGATTCATTTACTGAAAAATTCCTTCACACCGAAGTCACTCGCTGGCTCAGGTCTCTGCTTTGTCCACTTCTGATGACCAGAGTCAAACCCACGGACATTGATCAAATGAGAACTGACCGTTGATCCATTAATTTTCTCTGCTGCTGGATTTGCTGCTAATGAACCCAGAGGGCATACATGTATTACCTATGCTGGTAGGCCAGTCAAAGTGTTTCTGAAAATCATGGTCAGTCCTCAAGTTAAATGGCATGCATTACTTTGACTCCAAACAAACAGAGTGTATGGGCAAAATAGAGGAACATGCATGTTATTGTTGCATGTTTGTTTTAAAAATTGTGGTCAGACAGTGAGTCTGGTGAAACGTCCTTCATTCAAAACAGAGCATGGGAAATAGTGATACATACCGGTACATGTTGTTAGTGTTGTACATGTACATGTATGTTGGTATGTTTGTGTGTTTTGTGAAGGGGGAAACGTTCGGCCTATTTGAGGAACTTATCTGAATGAAAGTTCTCCTCTTTCAAGATGTTGTCAAGAAACAATAACATTCAAATATATGTGATGCGATCAGGCTAAATGAGTCAGTTGTCGGGAATTTTCATTTGGAAATTCAGGCCAAAATAGGACCACTCAGGGCCTAATTCATCACATCACTTCATCACATTTCTTGCGTTCCGACTTCAATAATTTTTTTAATTAAAGATGGTACCATCATGCGGTTTCACATGTTAACAGCAGTAACGCTGAGATTGTGCTCTTTTCAAATCTGCACACAAAAAAATCTGCTTCAAACCATACCGGTGCCTTACATGTACACCCCGGAGGGCAGTAGAAATGCACTAGTGTACATGTACTGATGTTCATGTATTTAAAAAAAAAAAAAAAATCAATTGAAACAATTAGGCCTACCAAATGTATTCTATCATGTGCACAATGTATAAGGATACAATGTATTACATACATGTACACAAATGTGTATGCAGGTCTACTGGAAGTTTTGAGTCTCAAATCGGAACCCTAAACATTCCACTTTGGAATGCGATGCAATGCAATGTTTTCGTCCAGACCCATTGAGCTCATACATGGACTGCTAGGCCTACTCCATTCTTAACTTGGAAGAAACATTCCTTTCCTAATGGATTTGTGATGGACACATTTTTGAACGCCAATTCTGTTGCTAGGCAGTGACAGCTGGGAGGACCTCGCTGAGAAAGATAGTGGACATTTTGCACGCAAACTTGTTATTATGCTTTTGATTTGCGCATGCACTCTGTATGAGACCTGGTAAGTTGTAACGTCCAAAAATACATACCTGTACATGTACATGTACATACTGGAAATATCTACTGTAGACTATTCATTGGTTGTATGCTATTGGCTTTACACTATGTGATTTATGCAATATAAAATAATTTAAGTTTTGGGATGGACTTTTGTCCCTTGACTTCTCAGGATTTTTTTTTTTAAAGACTTTTTACAAAGTACATGTCGTACATCGTAACAAGCCAAAGTTTATTGGCAGTTGCAGCTACTCATGATTTAATTCACGAATTACCGGTATGCCGTACAGGTACCGGTACATGTGTTTGCTAAGTTGTATGCCTTCTGAAAACAGGTGCACATACTGTCTGGCATTTCCGTCATTTTGCATCCAGTCAATTAAATCAATAAAACAATTTTAACAATTTCATTCAGGTATGTGTTTGTATTAAATGACAGTCCTGCAGTGGGTACATTTTTCTTTACGTTTTCAGCTGGTTTAAAATTCAAAGTACAGCATGACTAAATATAGACCCAATTGTGACATCATACACTGTCATCATATCTGTTAAAAATTTGAAAGTACCGGCAAAACAAAGTAGATCTACATGTAAGTGGAAAATACATTCTATCTGGGAGAGAGTGTGGCAGTGTGCATGACAAAATGTACAATTATAAACATTATTCTCAACCACAATATAACATGAAACTAGTACATGTGCATTACGAACAAATATTTGCCCTTTATTTCTACAATAATAGGTACAGTTTGTAGACTCATGTCAGTTCTCACTAGTTTTATTTTGAGTCCATTGTATACAAACACACCAGGGACAATGCACTTTAGTCTCATCAGTTAACGATAATGGCGGGCCATCTGGTTCAATTATCATAATGAGGCAGGGAGAAATGGACCACCAATCATCAGCATACAAATGATGTACACAATACAGCAGAACGATTCAACATCTGTGTACAAGTTACATTTATGCACACATGTACCGTACAGTAGGCCTACCGTATAGTTTGTTTTCATACAGACAATTGATGCAAAAATGAATGTACAAAGGTACACAAAATGTATACACACTGAATGTATACATTGAAAATGCAATGAAAACATTTGTACAGCATCAATAACATTAACAAGGTTATAAAAATTGCCAAAGAAACATACGGGCATCTTAATGTAGCTATAGCCTAGGCCAACCTGTTTTGAAATGAATCATTTGCGTATGTCTAAAAGAAAGCATAAAACTTCAGCAACAAGGATGAGTCAGGTTGGCGTAGCGGTACTTTCCTCGCCTTCCACCGCTGTGACCCGGGTTTGAATCCCGCCTGGGCCAATATGTGGATTGGGTTTTCAGTCCCTACCTGATTCCGTGGGTTTTCCCCAGAATATTCTCCTGGGCTTTTCCTCCCACCTCTAAAGCTGTAACTTCTTCTCATTGTCTTCTCTCCACAGGTTTCTTCAGGCTTGCGAGCTACAGTGCCTAGGGCGCTTTTGAGGAATCCTTGGTTTCATTTCCAGAAATTAATAATAATAATAACAATGATGCCAGCT